ACATAGACAACACATAGACATCAATGTGCATAGACAACACATAGTCATCAATGTGCATAGACAACACATAGACAACACATAGACATCAATGTGCATAGACAACACATAGACATCAATGTGCATAGACAACACATAGACATCAACGTGCATAGACAACACATAGACATCAATGTCCATAGACATCAATGTGCATACACAACACATAGACATCAACGTGCATAGACAACACATAGACATCAATGTGCATAGACAACACATAGACATCAATGTGCATAGACAACACATAGACATCAACGTGCATAGACAACACATAGACATCAATGTGCATAGACAACACATAGACATCAACGTGCATAGACATCAACGTGCATAGACAACACATAGACATCAACGTGCATAGACATCAACGTGCATAGACAACACATAGACATCAATGTGCATAGACAACACATAGACATCAATGTGCATAGACAACACATAGACATCAATGTGCATAGACAACACATAGACATCAATGTGCATAGACAACACATAGGCATCAGTGTGCATAGACAACACATAGACATCAATGTGCATAGACAACACATAGACATCAATGTGCATAGACAAGACATAGTCATCAACGTGCATAGACAACACATAGACATCAACGTGCATAGACAACACATAGACATCAATGTGCATAGATAACACATAGACATCAACGTGCATAGACATCAATGTGCATAGACAACACATAGACATCAATGTGCATAGACAACACATAGACATCAATGTGCATAGACATCAACGTGCATAGACAACACATAGACATCAATGTGCATAGACAACACATAGACGTCAATGTGCATAGACAACACATAGACATCAATGTCCATAGACAACACATAGACATCAATGTGCATAGACAACACATAGACATCAATGTGCATAGACAACACATAGACATCAATGTGCATAGACAACACATAGACATCAATGTGCATAGACAACACATAGACATCAATGTGCATAGACAACACATAGACATCAATGTGCATAGACAACACATAGACATCAACGTGCATAGACAACAAATATAGACATCAACGTGCATAGACATCAATGTGCATAGACAACACATAGACATCAATGTGCATAGACAACACATAGACATCAACGTGCATAGACAACACATAGACATCAATGTGCATGGACAACACATAGACATCAATGTGCATAGACAACACATAGACATCAATGTGCATAGACAACACATAGACAACACATAGACATCAATGTGCATAGACAACACATAGACATCAATGTGCATAGACAACATATAGACATCAATGTGCATAGACAACACATAGTCATCAACGTGAATAGACAACACATAGACATCAATGTAGTTAGACAACACATAGACATCAATGTGCATAGACAACACATAGACATCAATGTGCATAGACAACACATAGACATCAATGTGCATAGACAACACATAGACATCAATGTGCATAGACAACACATAGACATAAATGTGCATAGACAACACATAGACATCAACGTGCATAGACAACACATAGACATTAATGTGCATGGACAACACATAGACAACACATAGACATCAATGTGCATAGACAACACATAGATATCAATGTGCATAGACAACACATAGACAACACATAGACATCAATGTGCATAGACAACACATAGACATCAATGTGCATAGACAACACATAGACATCAATGTGCATAGACAACACATAGACATAAATGTGCATAGACAACACATAGACATCAACGTGCATAGACAACACATAGACATTAATGTGCATGGACAACACATAGACAACACATAGACATCAATGTGCATAGACAACACATAGACATCAATGTGCATAGACAACACATAGACATCAATGTGCATAGACAACACATAGACATCAATGTGCATAGACAACACATAGACATCAACGTGCATAGACAACACATAGACATCAATGTGCATAGACAACACATAGACAACACATAGACATCAATGTGCATAGACAACACATAGACATCAATGTGCATAGACAACATATAGACATCAATGTGCATAGACAACACATAGTCATCAACGTGAATAGACAACACATAGACATCAATGTACATAGACAACACATAGAAATCAATGTGCATAGACAACACATAGACATCAATGTGCATGGAGAACACAGACAACACATAGACATCAACGTGCATAGACAACACATAGACATCAATGTGCATAGACAACACATAGACATCAATGTGCATGGAGAACACAGACAACACATAGACATCAATGTACATAGACAACACATAGACATCAATGTGCATCGACAACACATAGACATCAATGTACATAGACAACACATAGACATCAATGTTCATAGACAACACATAGACATCAATGTGCATAGACAACACATAGACATCAACGTGCATAGAGAACACATAGACATCAATGTGCATAGACAACACATAGACATCAATGTGCATGGACAACACATAGACAACACATAGACAACACATAGACATCAATGTACATAGACAACACATAGACATCAATGTGCATAGACAACATATAGACAACACATAGACAACACATAGACATCAATGTGCATAGACAACACATAGACATCAATGTACATAGAAAACACATACACAACACATAGACAACACATAGACATCAATGTACATAGACAACACATAGACAACACATAGACATCTATGTCAATAGACAACACATGGACATCAATGTACATAGACAACACATAGACATCAATGTGCATAGACAACACATAGTCATCAATGTGCATAGACAACACATAGACAACACATAGACATCAATGTGCATAGACAACACATAGACATCAATGTACATAGCCAACACATAGACATCAATGTGCATAGACAACACATAGACATCAATGTGCATAGACAACACATAGACATCAATGTGCATAGACAACACATAGACATCAATGTGCATAGACAACACATAGACATCAATGTGCATAGACAACACATAGACACCAATGTGCATAGACAACACATAGACATCACATAGACATCAATGTGCATAGACAACACATAGACATCAATGTGCATAGACAACACATAGACATCAATGTGCATAGACAACACATAGACATCAATGTGCATAGACAACATATAGACATCAATGTGCATAGACAACACATAGACAACACAGAGACATCAATGTGCATAGACAACACATAGACATCACATAGACAACACATAGACATCAACGTGCATAGACAACACATAGACAACACAGAGACATCAACGTGCATAGACAACACATAGACAACACAGAGACATCAATGTGCATAGACAACACATAGACATCACATAGACAACACATAGACAACACATAGACATCAATGTGCATAGACAACACATAGACATCAATGTGCATAGACAACACATAGACATCAATGTGCATAGACAACACATAGACAACACATAGACATCAATGTGCACAGACAACACATAGACATCAACGTGCATAGACAACACATAGACATCAATGTGCATAGACAACACATAGACATCAATGTGCATAGACAACACATAGACATCAACGTGCATAGACAACACATAGACATCAATGTGGATTAGGGTTATGACTTCACTCACCTGTTTCCCTGTGTAAAGTTCAGTTAAGGGGGTCAGCAGTCTCATCAACTGTGTCTGTGGGTGGGGGTTATGACTTCACTCACCTGTTTCCCTGTGTAAAGTTTAGTTAAGGGGGTCAGAAGTCTCATCAACTGTGTCTGTGGGTGGGGGTTATGACTTCACTCACCTGTTTCCCTGTGTAAAGTTTAGTTAAGGGGGTCAGAAGTCTCATCAACTGTGTCTGTGGGTGGGGGTTATGACTTCACTCACCTGTTTCCCTGTGTAAAGTTTAGTTAAGGGGGTCAGAAGTCTCATCAACTGTGTCTGTGGGTGGGGGTTATGACTTCACTCACCTGTTTCCCTGTGTAAAGTTTAGTTAAGGGGGTCAGAAGTCTCATCAACTGTGTCTGTGGGTGGGGGTTATGACTTCACTCACCTGTTTCCCTGTGTAAAGTTTAGTTAAGGGGGTCAGAAGTCTCATCAACTGTGTCTGTGGGTGGGGGTTATGACTTCACTCACCTGTTTCCCTGTGTAAAGTTCAGTTAAGGGGGTCAGAAGTCTCATCAACTGTGTCTGTGGGTGGGGGGTATGACTTCACTCACCTGTTTCCCTGTGTAAAGTTCAGTTAAGGGGGTCAGAAGTCTCATCAACTGTGTCTGTGGGTGGGGGTTATGACTTCACTCACCTGTTTCCCTGTGTAAAGTTTAGTTAAGGGGGTCAGAAGTCTCATCAACTGTGTCTGTGGGTGGGGGTTATGACTTCACTCACCTGTTTCCCTGTGTAAAGTTTAGTTAAGGGGGTCAGAAGTCTCATCAACTGTGTCTGTGGGTGGGGGGTATGACTTCACTCACCTGTTTCCCTGTGTAAAGTTCAGTTAAGGGGGTCAGAAGTCTCATCAACTGTGTCTGTGGGTGGGGGTTATGACTTCACTCACCTGTTTCCCTGTGTAAAGTTTAGTTAAGGGGGTCAGAAGTCTCATCAACTGTGTCTGTGGGTGGGGGTTATGACTTCACTCACCTGTTTCCCTGTGTAAAGTTTAGTTAAGGGGGTCAGAAGTCTCATCAACTGTGTCTGTGGGTGGGGGGTATGACTTCACTCACCTGTTTCCCTGTGTAAAGTTTAGTTAAGGGGGTCAGAAGTCTCATCAACTGTGTCTGTGGGTGGGGGTTATGACTTCACTCACCTGTTTCCCTGTGTAAAGTTCAGTTAAGGGGGTCAGAAGTCTCATCAACTGTGTCTGTGGGTGGGGGTTATGACTTCACTCACCTGTTTCCCTGTGTAAAGTTTAGTTGAGGGGGTCAGAAGTCTCATCAACTGTGTCTGTGGGTGGGGGGTATGACTTCACTCACCTGTTTCCCTGTGTAAAGTTTAGTTAAGGGGGTCAGAAGTCTCATCAACTGTGTCTCCTCATCTGTGGCAATGCCGACATCATCCCGCCCCAGAAGTCGGGATACCTCCAATGTCAACAAGGTAGCTGCACGGGCTTCGACCTGGTGAGATGAAGATGATATGTACCTAATATGTCACTTCCATTGTGGTCTCCCACAGTGTGTGTAGACATATATGTAATGTGATGTCCCCCAGTGTGTGTAGACATATATGTAATGTGGTCTCCCCCAGTGTGTGTAGACATATATGTAGTGCGATCTCCCCCAGAGTGTGTGGACATATATGTAGTGTGATCTCCCACAGTGTGTGTAGACTTATATTTAGTGTGATCTCCTCCAGTGTGTGTAGACATATATGTAATGTGATGTCTCCCAGTGTGTGTAGACATATATGTAATGTGGTCTCCCCCAGTGTGTGTAGACATATATGTAGTGCGATCTACCCCAGAGTGTGTAGACATATATGTAGTGTGATCTCCCCCAGTGTGTGTAGACTTATATTTAGTGTGATCTCCCCCAGAGTGTGTAGACATATATTTACTGTGATCTCCCCCAGTGTGTGTAGACATATATTTACTGTGATCTCCCCCAGTGTGTGTAGACATATATGTAGTGCAATCTCCCCCAGTGTGTGTAGACATATATGTAGTGTGATCTCCCCCAGTGTGTGTAGACTTATATCTAGTGTGATCTCCCCAAGCGTTTGTAGACATATATGTCATGTGGTCTCCCCCAGTGTGTCTAGACATATATGTAGTGCAATCTCCCCCAGTGTGTGTAGACATATATGTAGTGTGATCTCCCCAAGCGTTTGTAGACTTATATCTAGTGTGATCTCCCCAAGCGTTTGTAGACATATATGTAATGTGGTCTCCCCCAGTGTGTGTAGACATATATGTAGTGCGATCTCCCCCAGTGTGTGTAGACATTTATGTAGTGTGATCTCCCCCAGTGTGTGTAGACATATATGTAGTGTTGTCTCCTCTAGTGTGTGTAGACATATATGTAATGTGGTCTCCCCCAGTGTATGTAGACATTTATGTAATGTGGTCTCTCCCAGTGTGTGTAGACATATATGTAGTGTGATCTCCCCCAGTGTGTGTAGACTTATATTTAGTGTGATCTCCCCCAGAGTGTGTAGACATATATTTACTGTGATCTCCCCCAGTGTGTGTAGACATATATTTACTGTGATCTCCCCCAGTGTGTGTAGACATATATGTAGTGCAATCTCCCCCAGTGTGTGTAGACATATATGTAGTGTGATCTCCCCCAGTGTGTGTAGACTTATATCTAGTGTGATCTCCCCAAGCGTTTGTAGACATATATGTAATGTGGTCTCCCCCAGTGTGTGTAGACATATATGTAGTGCGATCTCCCCCAGTGTGTGTAGACATTTATGTAGTGTGATCTCCCCCAGTGTGTGTAGACATATATGTAGTGTTGTCTCCTCTAGTGTGTGTAGACATATATGTAATGTGGTCTCCCCCAGTGTATGTAGACATTTATGTAATGTGGTCTCTCCCAGTGTGTGTAGACATATATTTAGTGTGGTCTTCCCCAGTGTGTGTAGACACATATTTAGTGTGGTCTACCCCAGTGTGTGTAGACATATATGTAATGTGCTATCCCCAAGTGTGTGTAGACATATATGTAATGTGCTATCCCCCAGTGTGTGTAGACATATATATAGTGTGGTCTCCCCCAGTGTGTGTAGACATATATGTAATGTGCTATCCCCAAGTGTGTGTAGACATATATGTAATGTGCTATCCCCCAGTGTGTGTAGACATATATGTAGTGTGGTCTACCCAAGTGTGTGTAGACATATATGTAATGTGCTATCCCCCAGTTTGTGTAGACTTATATGTAGTGTGATCTCCCCCAGTGTGTGTAGACATATATGTAATGTGATGTCCCCCAGTGTGTGTAGACATATATGTAATGTGGTCTCTCCCAGTGTGTGTGTAGACATATATTTAGTGTGATCTCCCCCAGCGTGTGTAGACATATTTAGTGTGATCTCCCCAAGCGTTTGTAGACATATATGTAATGTGGTCTCCCCCAGTGTGTGTAGACATATATGTAGTGCGATCTCCCCCAGTGTGTGTAGACATACATGTAGTGCGATCTCCCCCAGTGTGTGTAGACTTATATTTAGTGTGATCTCCCCCAGCGTGTGTAGACATATATTTACTGTGATCTCCCCCAGTGTGTGTAGACATATATTTACTGCGATCTCCCCCAGTGTGTGTATATGTAATGTGGTCTCTCCCAGTGTGTGTAGACATATATTTAGTGTGATCTCCCCCAGTGTGTGTAGACATATATGTAGTGCGATCTCCCCCAGTGTGTGAAGACATATATTTAGTGTGATCTCCCCCAGCGTGTGTAGACTTATATTTAGTGTGATCTCCCCCAGCGTGTGTAGACTTATATTGAGTGTGGTCTCCCCCAGTGTGTGTAGACATATATGTAATGTGGTCTCCCCCAGTGTGTGTAGACATATATGTAGTGCAATCTCCCCCAGTGTGTGTAGACATATATGTAGTGTGATCTCCCCCAGCGTTTGTAGACATATATGTAATGTGGTCTCTCCCAGTGTGTGTAGACATATATTTAGTGTGGTCTACCCCAGTGTGTGTAGACATATGTAATGTGCTATCCCCCAGTTTGTGTAGGCATATATGTAGTGTGATCTCCCCTAGTGTGTGTAGACAAATATGTAATGTGGTCTCCCCCAGTGTGTGTAGACATATTTGTAATGTGGTCTCCCCCAGTGTGTGTAGATATATATGTAATGTGGTCTCTCCCAGTGTGTGTAGACATATATTTAGTGTGATCTCCCCCAGCGTTTGTGGACATTTATGTAATGTGGTATCCCCAGGTTTGTGTAGACATATATGTAGTGTGATCTCCCCCAGTGTGTGTAGACATATATTTAGTGTAGTCTCCCCCAGTGTGTGAAGACATATATGTAGTGTGGTCTCCCCCAGTGTGTGTAGACATATATTTAGTGTGGTCTACCCCAGTGTGTGTAGACATATATGTAATGTGGTCTCCCCCAGTGTGTGTAGACATATATTGAGTGTGATCTCCCCCAGCATTTGTGGACATATACGTAATGTGGTATCCCCCAGTTTGTGTAGACATATATGTAGTGTGGTCTCCCCCAGTGTGCGTAGACATATATTTAGTGTGAACTCCTATAGTGTGTAAAGACATATATTTAGTGTGATCTTCCCCAGTGTGTGTAGACATACATGTAGTGTGATCTCCCCCAGTGTGTGTAGACATATATTTAGTGTGAACTCCTATAGTGTGTGTAGACATATATTAAGTGTAATCTCCCCCAGTGTGTGTAGACATATATTTAGTGTGAACTCCTATAGTGTGTGTAGACATGTATTACTGTGATCTCCCCCAGTGTGTGTAGACATATATTTAGTGTGATCTCCCCCAGTGTGTGTAGACATATATTTAGTGTAGTCTCCCCCAGTGTGTGAAGACATATATGTAGTGCGATCTCCCCCAGTGTGTGTAGACATAAACCTAGTGTGGTTTTCCCAGTGTGTGTAGACATATATGTAGTGTGGTCTCCCCCAGTGTGCGTAGACATATATTTAGTGTGAACTCCTATAGTGTGTGAAGACATATATTTAGTGTGATCTTCCCCAGTGTGTGTAGACATACATGTAGTGTGATCTCCCCCAGTGTGTGTAGACATATATTTAGTGTGAACTCCTATAGTGTGTGTAGACATATATTAAGTGTAATCTCCCCCAGTGTGTGTAGACATATATTTAGTGTGAACTCCTATAGTGTGTGTAGACATGTATTACTGTGATCTCCCCCAGTGTGTGTAGACATATATTTAGTGTGATCTCCCCCAGTGTGTGTAGACATATATTTAGTGTGAACTCCTATAGTGTGTGTAGAGATATATTTAGTGTGATCTCCCCCAGTGTGTGTAGACATATATTTAGTATGAACTCCTATAGTGTGTGTAGACATATATTAAGTGTAATCTCCCCCAGTGTGTGTAGACATATATTTAGTGTGATCTCCCCGCGTGTGTGTAGAGATATATTTAGTGTGATCTCCCCCAGTGTGTGTAGACATATATTTAGTATCAACTCCTATAGTGTGTGTAGACATATATTAAGTGTAATCTCCCCCAGTGTGTGTAGACACATATTTATTATGAACTCCTATAGTGTGTGTAGAGATATATTTACTGTGATCTCCCCCAGTGTGTGTAGACATATATTTAGTATGAACTCCTATAGTGTGTGAAGACATATATTTAGTGTGAACTAATATAGTGTGTGTAGACATATATTTAGTATGAACTCCTCTAGTGCGTGAAGACATATATTTATTGTGGTTTCCCTCAGTGTGTGAAGACATATTATAAGTGTGGTTTCCCCCAGTGTTTGTAGACATATATTTAGTGTGATCTCCCCCAGTGTGTGGAGACATATATTTGGTGTGATGTCCCCCAGTGTGTGTTGAGATATATTGAGTGTGGTTTCCCCCAGTGTGTGAAGACATATATTTAGTGTGAACTCCTATAGTGCGTGTAGACATATATCTAGTGTGAACTCCTATAGTGTGTGTAGTCACCCATGTGACACTCATGTGACACTCATGTGACACCAATATATAAGCCAGTATACAACAGTGTGTTATTTCTACACCCATGTGACACCCATGCAAGCCAGTATACAACAGTGTGTTCTTGCTACACCCATGTGACACCCATGTAAGCCAGTATACAACAGTGTGTTATTTCTACACCCATATGACACCCATGTAAGCCAGCATACAACAGTGTGTTCTTGCTACACCCATGTGACACCTATGTAAGCCAGCATACAAAAGTGTGTTATTTCTACACCCATGTGACACCCATGCAAGCCAGTATACAACAGTGTGTTCTTGCTACACCCATGTGACACCCATGTAAGCCAGTATACAACAGTGTGTTATTTCTACACTCATGTGACACCAATATATAAGCCAGTATACAAGAGTGTGTTCTTTCTACACCCATGTGACACCCATGTAAGCCAGCATACAACAGTGTGTTCCTGCTACACCCATGTGACACCCATGTAAGCCAGCATACAACAGTGTGTTCTTGCTACACCCATGTGACACCCATGTAAGCCAGCATACAACAGTGTGTTCTTGCTACACCCATGTGACACCCATGTAAGCCAGCATACAACAGTGTGTTATTTCTACACCCATGTGACACCCATGTAAGCCAGCATACAACAGTGTGTTCTTGCTACACCCATGTGACACCCATGTAAGCCAGTATACAACAGTGTGTTCTTGCTACACCCATGTGACACCCATGTAAGCCAGCATACCACAGTGTGTTATTTCTACACCCATGTGACACCCATGCAAGCCAGTATACAACAGTGTGTTATTTCTACACCCATGTGACACCCATGTAAGGCAGTATACAACAGTGTGTTCTTGCTACACCCATGTGACACCCATGTAAGCCAGTATACAACAGTGTGTTCTTTCTACACCCATGTGACACCCATGCAAGCCAGCATACAACAATGTGTTCTTGCTACACCCATGTGACACCCATGTAAGCCAGTATACAAGAGTGTGTTCTTTCTACACCCATGTGACACCCATGTAAGCCAGTATACAACAGTGTGTTATTTCTACACCCATGTGACACCCATGCAAGCCAGTATACAACAGTGTGTTCTTTCTACACCCATGTGACACCCATGTAAGCAAGCATACAACAGTGTGTTCTTTCTACACCCATGTGACACCCATGTAAGCCAGCATACAACAGTGTGTTCTTTCTACACCCATGTGACACCCATGTAAGCAAGCATACAACAGTGTGTTCTTTCTACACCCATGTGACACCCATGCAAGCCAGTATACAACAGTGTGTTCTTGCTACACCCATGTGACACCTATGTAAGCCAGTATACAACAGTGTGTTATTTCTACACCCATGTGACACCCATGCAAGCCAGCATACAACAGTGTGTTATTTCTACACCCATGTGACACCCATGTAAGCCAGTATACAACAGTGTGTTATTTCTACACCCATGTGACACCCATGTAAGCCAGTATACAACAGTGTGTTCTTGCTACACCCATATACAACAGTGTGTTCTTGCTACACCCATGTGACACTCATGTGACACCCATGTGACACCCATGTGACACTCATTTGACACCCATGTGACACCCATGTAAGCCAGCATACAACCGTGTGTTCTTGCTACACCCATATACAACAGTGTGTTCTTGCTACACCCATGTGACACCCATGTGACACCCATGTGACACCCATGTGACACTCATGTGACACCCAAGTGACACCAATGTAAGCCAGCATACAACAGTGTGTTCTTGCTACACCCATGTGATGCTCATGTGACACCCATGTGACCCCCATATGACACCCATGTGACGCTCATGTGAAACCTATGTGACACCCATGTAAGCCAGCATACAACAGCGAGCTACAGTATTCACCTCCAGCCTGGCCAGTGTCTGGACATGCAGAGGGTAGTTCTTGATAGGGTTCCCGAAAGCATGTCTGCGTGTGCTGTAGTCCCGGGCAAGGTTCACGATCCTGTAACATGCAGTGCAAGTATCAAGAGCAAGTAACATAGCAATAACATAGCAGCTTTGCTTAATTTAATACTTCATGGCATGGTTATCACAAATGCTTGACCAAAATCAAATTTGTTAAAAGGAAATAGTGTAAAACAGATGATAAAAGATTATAGGCTAAATCGTTGCACGACATGATACAATAACCGATGTAAAAAGAAGGCCTGGAGTGCAAAATGGCATCTTGGGATGAACATGGTGGAGGAAGAACAGTGACCATTTTGTTTGACTGCAGCATGTAGCAAAATGCCATATGTGGAACACATGTTCATGTGGATATGAAACTTTTCAAGGATTGCTCATTCCTTTGTCCAGAGGCAGACATAATTCCTAGGGCACCAACACCTGCCTTGGACAACTTTGTGACTTCTGAGGCATGGACACAGTGGAATAAAAATGTTTGGGATGAGCTTGCGGCATGAGAGATGGTTGACATCAACCTGCCATATTTCTACCCAGATAATAATACTTAAATTTTCAAAGTTTAAAGAAACTATTTCACCGAAAATTGATGTGGATGCGCCATCTTGCTTGACAGTTATGAAAGAAGGATGTTAAGAAATATTAAATAGTTTTGGAGTTCTGCTCTGGAAAAATGAGCACTACCCTCATTTTCAGTAAAGTCCAACTTGTCTTGAAAACATAAAGAAAATAATTTTGTTTTTAAAAATCCCAAATCATCAAAAAGCCCCTGTTCACCAGACTGATCTGTATAGCAAGTTACATCTAGTAATATTCAACGGCTTTTGAGTGCTGCTCTAGAAACAAGCACTTACCCACATTTTCAATAAAGTCCAACTTGTCGTCATGGAAGAAAATACATCAAAAACCAAAATCCCAAATTATCCAAAGGCACCAGCTCACCACTATACTGATCTACATAGCAAGTTTTAACAAGAAATATTGAACTGTTTTGAAGTTCTGCTAAGGAAATGAGCACTACCCTCATTTTCAGCAAAGTCCATCTTCTAATCATGGGAAACAAAGTAAAAACAAAACTCCAAATCATTAAAAGGCACCAGTTCACCACTAAACTGATCTTTTTAGCAAGTTTCAACAAGAAATAATTAACGGTTTTGGAGTCCTCCTCAGAAAACGCAAAACGGACAGCTGACGGACGGACGGACGGACATGGTAATCGCTAACATCCCAACGATTTTGCCTTTGATTCTTTAGTGAAGCATTTTAGAATCAGGTATTCCTATATGACATGTCTACAGTTACTGTGACAGTGGTGAGGTTAGCTTCTGTCAGCCAACTGACCGTCTCATGCCGCCTGCTGCAGCCATGGAGTTATGCAGTCGGGTCAGTGTCAGCATGCCAGCAATGGAGGCCACACCACGCCCTTCAGCTGAAACCTGCAAACCAAAACAGTAGCCAGACTATTCTGAAAAGCACCATAGAGTGTCTGGCAATGTGCATATGCTGGTATAGATGTCCAAGCCTGATAATACCAATGAAGTCAGACAAAACAGGGAAGAAAACTATTGTTTACATATTTAACCACCTGACTGAAAAGTGTCTGTCATCCGTCCATCTGTCCATCATAAACACCAACCCTGGAAGTGAATGTACCTGCCCTGTTAGTGAGAGTACCTACCCTCGTACTGAATGTGCCTACCTTGGCAGTGAGAGTGTGTTTGTTTGTCAGCAATATTCCAACTATGATGGCGGTATGTAAATAATCGCGCCTGGACCAGACAATCCAGTGATTGAGCATCGATCCATGCATTTGGGATGCAATGACATGCACCCACCAAGTCACCGAGCCTGACCACCCGATCCTGTTAGTCGTCTTTTATGACAAGCGCAGTTGCCTTTTACGGCAAACATGAGTTACTGAAGATTTATTCTAACCCATATCTTCACGGGTGGGAGTAGTGAGAGTACCTGCCTTGGTAGTAAGAGTGTACCTACCCTGGTAGTGAGAGTGTACCTACCCTGGTAGAGAGTGTACCTACCCTAGTAGAGAGTGTACCTACGTTGGTAGTGAGAGTGTACCTACCCTGGTCGTGAGAGTGTACCTATCCTGGTAGAGAGTGTACCTACCCTAGTAGAGAGTGTACCTACGTTGGTAGTGAGAGTGTACCTACCCTGGTCGTGAGAGTGTACCTACTCTGGTAGTGAGTGTACCTACTCTGGCAGTAAGAGTGTACCTACCCTGGTAGATAGTGTACCTACCCTGTTAGTGAGAGTGTACCTACCCTGGTAGAGAGTGTACCTACCCTGGTAGTAAGAGTGTACCTACCCTGGTAGTGAGAGTGTACCTACCCTGGTAGTGAGAGTGTACCTACCCTGGTAGTGAGAGTGTACCTACCCTGTTAGTGAGAGTGTACCTACCCTGGTAGATAGTGTACCTACCCTGTTAGTGAGAGTGTACCTACCCTGGTAGAGAGAGTGTACCTACCCTGGTAGAGAGTGTACCGACCCTGGTAGTGAGAGTGTACCTACCCTGGTAGAGAGTGTACCTACCCTGGTAGAGAGTGTACCTACCCTAGTAGAGAGTGTACCTACCCTAGTAGAGAGTGTACCTACCCTGGTAGAGAGTGTACCTACCCTGGTAGTGAGGGTGTACCTACCCTGGTAGTGAGAGTGTACTTACCCTGGTAGTGAGAGTGTACCTACCCTGGTAGTGAGAGTGTACCTACCCTGGTAGTGAGAGTGTACCTACCCTGGTAGTGAGAGTGTACCTACCCTAGTAGAGAGTGTACCTACCCTGGTTGTGAGAGGGTATCTACCCCAGTAGTGAATGTGTGTACCTACCCTGGTAGAGAGTGTACCTACCCTAGTAGTGAGAGTGTACCTACCCTGGTTGTGAGAGGGTATCTACTCTGGTAGTAAGAGTGTACCTACCCTAGTAGAGATTGTACCTACCCTGGTAGAAAGTCTACCTACCTTAGCAGCACGTGTACCATCAAGGAGAAGTTCCGCAGTTGGCACCTGTCTCGTTCCAAGCTTGTTCTTCAGTCTCTGAGGTTGGATGTTATTGAGCGCTCCATTTTCATCTCTGAGCTCCAGATAGAAGAGAGACAAACCTTGTGTACCCTGTAACACACACATGCCTGACATGTCTGAAACCTACAGTGGGGTCAGAAATAAAGGTGAGGGAATATATGTATATCTTACAAAATATGTCAACACCTATCTCACATTGCACTCCCTGGTACCTGGTTATATTTGTGCATGGGCTACACACATAGTCCTAGAATCTCTCTTTCTCTTCTCTACACATAAGAGGGTTGATCCGGTTCTGAGCCTCACAAGTAAGTGCATAAGAGCGAAATCTTTTGTTTCTGGACAAGTTAGTAAAATATGCAGGATTCTGTGACCTTCAGAAAACTTACACACACAGGAATGTTCAGTGATGAAGTACTTGCAGTGAGATATGAGTACACCACTTCAGAATGCTGCCCCTTCCTACGTAAAGAGGTGGGCAGCAGTGTCTAAGCATTGCTGCGAGCGCCTTGAAGATGACCCCCATCCCAGAAGACCTGCGATGTCAGCAACCCCAGAAATGATCCAGAGAATCTGTGATACGGTGATGACTGACCAGCAATGACTGAGTGTCATATTGCTAGTTCACTAGGCATTTCCCTGGAGAGAGTACACTCCATTATTTCAGAAATTTCTGACATCTGATAAAAACACATCAGGCAGAAATGGCCTTCTGGAGAGATACAAACATGGCCTTCAAGTAAAGACAAAACATGGCCTTCAGGCAAGGTACAAACATGTCACCATGATGCACACATGGCCTTCAAGTGAAGTACAAACATGTCACCATGATGCACACATGGCCTTCAAGTGAAGTACAAACAAGTCACCATGATGCACACATGGCCTTCAAGTGAAGTACAAACAAGTCACCATGATGCACACGTGGCCTTCAGGTGAGGTACAAACATGTCACCATGATGGACACGTGGCCTTCAGGTGAGGTACAAACATGTCACCATAATGCACACATGGCCTGCAAGTGAAGTCCAAACATGGCCTTCAGGTGAGGGACAAACATGGCCTGCAAGTGAAGTCCAAACATGGCCTTCAGGTGATGAACAAACATGTCACCATGATGCATACATTGCCTTCAAGTGAGGTACAAACGTGTCATCATGATGCACTCATGGCCTTCAAGTGAGATACAAACATGGCCTTCAAGTGAAGTCGAAACATTGCCTTCCAGTGAAGTACAAACACCATGTCACCATGATGCACACATGGCCTTGAAATAAAGTACAAACATGTAACCAAAATGCACACATGGCCTTCTAGTGAAGTCCAAAGATGGCCTTCAAGTGAAGTCCAAACATGGCCTTCAGGTGAGGTACAAACATGGCCTTCAGGTGAGGTACAAACATGTCACCATGATGCACACAGGGCCTTCAAGTGAAGTACAAACATGGCCTTCAGGAGAGGTACAAACGTGTCACCATGATGCACACATGGCCTTCAAGTAAAGTACAAACATGGCCTTCAGGTGAAGTACAAACATGGTCTTCAGGTGAGGTACAAACATGTCACCATGATACACACATGGCCTTCAAGTGATGTACAAACATGGTCTTCAGGTGAGGTACAAATATGTCACCATGATGCACACATGGCCTTAAAGTGAATTACAAACATGGCCTCCAGGTGAGGTACAAACATGGCCTTCAGGTGAGATACAAACATGGCCATCAAGTGAAGTCGAAACATGGCCTTCAGGTGAGGTAGAAACATGTCACCATGATGCACACATGGCCTTCAAGTAAAGTACAAACATGTCACCATAATGCACACATGGCCTTCAAGTGAAGTACAAACATGGCCTCCGGGTGAGGTACAAACATGGCCTTCAGGTGAGATACAAACATGGCCATCAAGTGAAGTCGAAACATGGCCTTCAGGTCAGGTATAAACATGTCACCATGATGCACACATGGCCTTCAAGTAAAGTACAAACATGTCACCATGATGCACACATGGCCTTCAAGTGAAGTACAAACATGGCCTCCGGGTGAGGTACAAACATGGCCTTCAGGTGAGATACAAACATGGCCATCAAGTGAAGTCGAAACATGGCCTTCAGGTCAGGTATAAACATGTCACCATGATGCACACATGGCCTTCAAGTAAAGTACAAACATGTCACCATGATGCACACATGGCCTTCAAGTGAAGTACAAACATGGCCTCCAGGTGAGGTACAAACATGGCACCATGATGCACACATGGTCTTCAGGTGAAGTACAAACATGGCCCTCAAGTAAAGTCGAAACATGGCCTTCAGGTGAGGTACAAACATGTCACCATGATGTACACATGGTCTTCAGGTGAAGTACAAACATGGCCCTCAAGTGAAGTCGAAACATGGCCTTCAGGTCAGGTATAAACATGTCACCATGATGCACACATGGCCTTCAAGTAAAGTACAAACATGTCACCATGATGCACACATGGCCTTGAGGTGAAGTACAAACATGGCCTTGAGGTGAGGTACAAACATGTCACCATGATAAACACATGGCCTTCAAGTGAAGTACAAACATGGCCTCCAGGTGAGGTACAAACATGTCACCATGATGCACACATGGCCTTCAGGTGAAGTACAAACATGGCCTTCAAGTGAAGTACAAACATGGCCTTCAAGTGAAGTCAAAACATGGCCTTCAAGTTAAGTACAAACATGTCACCATGATGCACACAGCGCCTTCAGGTGAAGCCCAAACATGGCCTTCAGGTGAGGTACAAACAAGTCACCATGGTGATATGGTCGCCATGATACAGATGAAACAATGGAGTAAATCATCAATCACTCATCCTGATAATCTGGGCAGTTCAAAGGTCAAGATGTATTCAGACTTAAATGTATAATGGACAACTGAAAATGTTCACTTACTTGAACTATGTTACCACTCTGGTCTATACACCGAGCCAGGGTGAAGGTCATATCAGCATCTGTCGCAGAGGAGAACCACTTGTAACCATGGAGTGTATAGCTGCCATCATCCTGTGACACAGCCAAAGTCTCAGTGCCTCGAGCTGCAGAATAAGACATAACTATTAATACCACACATGACATTTCAAGGAGTAAGTTATCTTACAAATATTATAAATACTTTAACTTACATCATTTCCACTTCACCTGACTGCTGGTCCAATGAGGTTATGTCACAGCCTGCTGTACACTTTGACCATGCTCCTAAATTCTCTTGAAACGCATTTCCTCAAACTGTAAACATCATATTCTCAGAAACCTCCAGACCAATGAAACTGAAATTCCACATGCTTCTTCCCACCAATGATGACACCTAAATGTATTCAAGAGGCTCAAGTCTGCCGCAGCACCATTAATGGCCATTACTCAGTCATTTTTGTTAGAAATGTTATTAAATTTGGTATCTTTAGGTTGTAGTCGGCATCAAGACATGTTCCTATTTTCTGAAATATTATAAATATTGTCCTTAATTCAACATATGCATTCGGACCATGCTCTTAATTCTCTCAAATGTGCTAAGCTCTGTAAACATCATCTCCTCAGAAAGTGACAGAAACCACAAGACAAATGAAGCTGAAACTCCACAAGCATGTTCCCAACAATGATGACACCTGAACTTGTTCATATGGATCTATATTGAAGACAAAATAGAAAACTTTTGGGTAATTGTTGGTAAACATACCTCCAGAATGCAATAGCCTTATTCTCCTGGTTGGGAGGACTCAACAAGAATACACTGTTTGAAGTGTGGTACATGCCAACATCACAGCCTCCTGTACAGACATGAGACATCTACCAACATCACAGTCTCCTGTACAGACATGAGACACCCGCCAACATCACAGCCTCTTGTACAGACATGAGACATCTACCAACATCATAGCCTCCTGTACAGACATGAGACATCTACCAACATCACAGCCTCCTGTACAGACATGAGACACCCGCCAACATCACAGCCTCTTGTACAGACATGAGACATCTACCAACATCATAGCCTCCTGTACAGACATGAGACATCTACCAACATAACAGCCTTCTGTACAGACATGAGACAACTACAAACATCACAGCCTCCTGTACAGACATGAGACATCTACCAACATCACAGCCTCCTGTACAGACAAGAGACATCTACCAACATAACAGCCTTCTGTACAGACATGAGACACCCACCACCATCACAGCCTCCTGTACAGACATGAAACATCTACCAACATCACAGCCTCCTGTACAGACATGAGACAACTACAAACATCACAGCCTCCTGTACAGACATGAGACATAAACCAACATCATAGCCTCCTGTACAGACATGAGACATCTACCAACATCACTGCCTACTGTACAGACATGAGACATCTACTAACATCACATCCTCCTGTACAGACATGAGACAACTACCAACATCACAGCCTCCTGTGGAAAGATGAGACATCTACCATCATCACAGCCTCCTGTACAGACATGAGACATCTACCAACATCACAGCCTCCTGTACAGACATGAAACACCTACCAAGATCACAGCCTCCTGTACAGACTTGAGACATCTACCAACATCACAGCCTCCTGTACAGACATGAGACATCTGCCAACATCACAGCCTCCTGTCCAGACATGAGACATCTACCAACATCACAGCCTCCTGTACAGACCTGAGACTCCTACCAACATCACAGCCTCCTGTACAGACATGAGACATCTACCAACATCACAGCCTCCTGTACAGACATGAGACATCTACCAACATCACAGCCTCTTGTACAGACATGAAAATTCCTTCCAACATCACAGCCTCTTGTACAGACATGAAACACCTTCCAACATCACAGCCTCTTGTACAGACATGAGACATCTACCAACATCACAGCCTCTTGTACAGACATGAGACATCTACCAACATCTCAGTCTCCTGTACAGACATAAGACATCTACCAACATCACAGCCTCCTGTACAGACATGAGACATCTACCAACATCACAGCCTCCTGTACAGACATGAGATATCCCTCAACATCACAGCCTCCTGTAGTCACTTGAAACACCTACCAACATCAGAGCCTCCTGTAGAGACATGAGACACCTACCAACATCACAGCCTCCTGTAGAGACATGAGACACCTACCAACATCACAGCCTCCTGTAGAGACATGAGACACCTACCAACATCACAGCCTCCTGTACAGACCTGAGACATCTACCAACATCACAGCCTACTGTTGTCACTTGAAACACCTACCAACATCAGAGCCTTCTGTAGAGACATGAGACACCTACAAACATCACAGCCTCTTGTACAGACATGAAACATCCACCAACATCACAGCCTCATGTACAGACATGAGACACCCACCAACATCACAGCCTCCTGTACAGACATGAGACATCTACCAACATCACAGCCTCCTGTACAGACATGAGACATATACTAACATCACAGCCTCCTGTACAGACATAAGACACCTACCAACATCACAGCCTCCTGTAGAGACATGAAACACCTACCAACATCACAGCCTCCTGTACAGACATGAGACTCCTACCAACATCACAGCCTCATGTACAGACATGAGACACCCACCAACATCACAGCCTCCTGTACAGACATGAGACATCTACCAACATCACAGCCTCCTGTACAGACATGAAACACCTACCAACATCACAGCCTCTTGTACAGACATGAGACTCCTTCCAACATCACAGCCTCTTGTACAGACATGAGACACCCACCAACATCACAGCCTCTTGTACAGACATGAGACATCTACCAACATCACAGCCTCCTGTACAGACATGAGATATCCCTCAACATCACAGCCTCCTGTAGTCACTTGAAACACCTACCAACATCAGAGCCTCCTGTAGAGACATGAGACATCTACCAACATCACAGCCTCCTGTACAGACATGAAACACCCACCAACATCACAGCCTCATGTACAGACATGAGACATCTACCAACATCACATCCTTCTGTACAGACATGAGACATCTACCAACATCACAGCCTCCTGTACAGACATGAGACATCTACCAACATCACAGCCTCCTGTACAGACATGAGACATCTACCAACATCACAGCCTCCTGTACAGACATGAGGCATATCAAATATCACAGCCTCCTGTACAGACATGAGAGAACTACCAACATCATAGTCTCCTGTACAGACATGAGAGAACTACAAACAACACAGCCTCTTGTACAGACATGAGACACCTACCAACATCACAGCCTCTTGTACAGACATGAGACATCTACCAACATCACAGCCTCCTGTACAGACATGAGGCATATCAAATATCACAGCCTCCTGTACAGACATGAGACACCTACCAACATCACAGCCTCCTGTACAGACATGAGACACCCACCAACATCACAGCCTCCTGTGGAAAGATGAGACATCTACCATCATCACAGCCTCCTGTACAGACATGAGACACCTACCACCATCACAGCCTCCTGTGGAAAGATGAGACATCTACCAACATCACAGCCTCCTGTACAGACATGAGACATCTACCAACATCACAGCCTCCTGTACAGACATGAAACACCTACCAAGATCACAGCCTCCTGTACAGACATGAGACATCTACCAACATCACAGCCTCCTGTACAGACATGAGACATCTACCAACATCACAGCCTCCTGTACAGACCTGAGACTCCTACCAACATCACAGCCTCCTGTACAGACATGAGACATCTACCAACATCACAGCCTCCTGTACAGACATGAGACTCCTACCAACATCACAGCCTCCTGTACAGACATGAGACATCTACCAACATCACAGCCTCCTGTACAGACATGAGACATCTACCAACATCACAGCCTCCTGTACAGACATGAGACACCTACCAACATCACAGCCTCCTGTACAGACATGAGACACCTACCAACATCACAGCCTCCTGTACAGACATGAGACATCTACCAACATCACAGCCTCCTGTACAGACATGAGACATCTACCAACATCACAGCCTCCTGTACAGACCTGAGACTCCTACCAACATCACAGCCTCCTGTACAGACATGAGACATCTACCAACATCACAGCCTCCTGTACAGACATGAGACATCTACCAACATCACAGCCTCTTGTACAGACATGAGACATCTACCAACATCACAGCCTCCTGTACGGACATGAGACATCTACCAACATCACAGCCTCCTGTACAGACATGAAACATCTACCAACATCACAGCCTCCTGTGGAAAGATGAGACATCTACCATCATCACAGCCTCCTGTACAGACATGAGACACCTACCACCATCACAGCCTCCTGTGGAAAGATGAGACATCTACCATCATCACAGCCTCCTGTACAGACATGAGACATCTACCAACATCACAGCCTCCTGTACAGACATGAAACACCTACCAACATCACAGCCTCCTGTACAGACATGAGACACCTACCAACATCACAGCCTCCTGTACAGACATGAGACACCTACCAACATCAGAGCCTCCTGTACAGACATGAGACATCTACCAACATCACAGCCTCCTGTACAGACATGAGACACCTACCAACATCACAGCCTCCTGTACAGACATGAGACACCTACCAACATCAGAGCCTCCTGTACAGACATGAGACATCTACCAACATCACAGCCTCCTGTACAGACATGAAACACCTACCAACATCACAGCCTCCTGTACAGACATGAGACACCTACCAACATCAGAGCCTCCTGTACAGACATGAGACATCTACCAACATCACAGCCTCTTGTACAGACATGAGACATCTACCAACATCACAGCCTCCTGTACAGACCTGAGACTCCTACCAACATCACAGCCTCCTGTACAGACATGAGACATCTACCAACATCACAGCCTCCTGTACAGACATGAGACATCTACCAACATCACAGCCTCCTGTACAGACATGAGACATCTACCAACATCACAGCCTCCTGTACAGACATGAGACATCTACCAACATCACAGCCTCCTGTACAGACATGAGGCATATCAAATATCACAGCCTCCTGTAAAGACATGAGAGAACTACCAACATCTAAGGCCTCCTGTAGTCACTTGAAACACCTACCAACATCAGAGCCTCCTCTCCTCTCTGTCATCCACTGTCCCGAAGTCCAGAATTCACTTGGACTTCGAGAGGTAAGACGGCTATATGCCCGTTCCATCAACCATGGATGCTGACCCTTCACAGACTGGAAGAAGGAATAGCCATGAAGGATACCATACGTCTACAGTGGAATCTGTCAACTTGACTTAGGTCCTATGTGTAACAGGGACTCAGAAATAGAACATCTACCTCACTGAAATACCACCCATTATAGTCTGGAAGCCTCCGGCTGTTGTCAGGGAAACCTATGCTGATGCATACAGGACTCAGCATGATAATAGATATTATTCAGATAGTTAAATGTGTGGTACAATACACTAGATTCCCTCAAGCTTCACCTCCAAAATTGGCTCTCACCTTTAATGCTTGATAATTTTATGTTTTCAAAACCATTAACAAAACTGTATTGATTAATTGATGAACTTTCAGAACAGTACCTCTTAAAAAATACTTGACAAAATGAAAGCAGGTGTGACACAATGATTGTGAAAACTATGAGTGCCAGGTTGCTGGGATGTGGCTTCAATGTGTACCTCAATGATCTTGGCAGCTCCATCTGTCATTGCCAGGGGGCAGCTGTACAGCCCAGCAGAGGGGCAGAACAGGTACACCTTGGCCATCTGGTACAGGCGGCTGGAACACAGTCAACATTCGGGCTACCTGGGAAACTCAGTGATATGAAGGAATTTAATACCCATGCACCGACATGATAAACAGTTTTACAGACTTGGTACAAACATATATCAATGGGGTAAGTAAACATGACCAGCCAAGGCAGTAACCAAGCCAACCACGAACAGTTGACATCAATTAAACAATTAGTGCCTTATTCAGTGTCATGTTTGCATTTGAGTGAGTGAGTGAGTGAGTGAGTGAGTGAGTGAGTGAGTGAGTGAGTGAGTGAGTGAGTGAGTGAGTGAGTGAGTGAGTGAGTGAGTGAGTGAGTGAGTGAGTGAGTGAGTGAGTGAGTGTACTTTTACATTATTCTAGCAATATCAAGGTGGGGTACACCAGAAGGGATATTCAATTAAGAATTGACCTTCACTTTGTGTGAGTTCATTGGAGTATGAACCTTCATAGAGTGAGGGCCAATCTGTATGAACGTCGGAGCTTGCGACGACGTTCATACAATGTTTGGCCCTCGCTCTATGGAGGTTCATACTCCAATGAACTCACACAAAGTGAAAGTCAATTCTAATAATTTTTAATCAAAATTTCTTACCTCAAAGGATGTAGGCCAAGATCTAAACACAATTTTATTTAGTACATGTGACTTCAACAACAACCAGCTATATCGCGGAATAAAATAGTTCCCCAAAAAGAGAGGTGACATGAGCGTATGGATGCAGAACTTGCTCTTCAGAAACATTTTACGCAACACATGTGTTCATATAATATCCCCATTAGATGAGAAAGGTCTGTAATGAACTACCTCAGTAAGTCAGCCACAATGACAGCGCGTCGTAATACATTTACATCAAGTACAAGACGTCAAAATGGCCGACACGATAATCGTGACAGGAGGATTTCCGAAGTTGTTAATGAACCTGTGGCGGTTACATGTGTTAGTCATCATTGATCAACTGACCGATTATTGAAAGGTGATTAAAGATGCGTCAAACAGACACCAAGGTAAATTCGTAGATTGCTGGAGCCGGTCGCTGTCAGCCTAGACACAGATCAAGTCGATACTGACCATAGTTTGGATGTGCATTTTTTCGTTTGTTCATTAGGATGGGCCGTAGCGAGGAAATTCATGAACAATCATGCAGTCAAACTCTCTTACGTTTCTCAATGTATACTGAAATGCTGAGACCAAGATTAAAGGTTCTAAATGATCAGAAATATGTTTATGTATGTTTTTCGTCCTAGGGAATTCACAGGGGTTTCCCCAGGATGTGGAAGTAGTCTGTCTGTGTTTACGTCATTTCAAGAAAACGGTCTCATGAAAAACGTATGAGCGTCAAATTGTGTCGTTCATACACTTATGAACATCAATTTCGCGGTCATGTGACTGACCTCTCGTCCCATGGAAAAGCTGTATATCGTGTAAACGTCAAATTAACAAATTATTACATTGTACCCATGTGGAGAATCAAACTCAGGTCTTCGGCGTGACAAGCGAATGCTTCAACCACTAGGCCACCCAACTGCCTATACATCAAAAGAAGATCAGAAGTAATTTAGCATAATACCCAGTTCCGTACATACTTATATATTAAACAAGATGAATATCGATGGAGATGGGGTCACTAACAGGTAACAGCCCACCCAAAAAACATGTACTCATACCGACTCCATGGACCCATACTTGTGACACATCTACAGAGTGGGGTTCTGGGGGTGGCCATCCCCCTGTTTTGCATCTGATGACACTTTGTATACATGTGCATTTCCTACCGTGACAACATGAAGATTGACTTGTTTAAGAAAAATTATTAACAAGGGTTTGTGATTTTTTGGGTAGAATGAGGGATGGAAACACCGACACATCCCCCACTGAAGTTACAAATGGCCTAAGTGGAAGCCCCACCTTTTATAAACTCCTCGATCCGTCCCTGCACTACAACACGGCATGGAGCTTCACAACTGAACACTAACACAGTAGGAGATGGTGCATGCACAACAACTGTTAAGAATGTGAGGAGCTGAAGGAGACTGCTGATAACAAAAACAAGCTTCCTAGAACTGAGGTTATGTTTTCTGACACTGTTGTTTATTTTCAGGTTGTGAAATCAAGCCTTGGAGAATAGGTACAGAAATACAGTCCTCCCATGTTATTCATCATTGAGAACTGCCATCATTGGATATTTACTTGTCCTAAGCACAATTAGAAGGCTGACAGACATAGCTTGGTTTTTGCTTTGTCAGGGAAAATTAATGCAAGCGGTTTGAAAGTAGGATGTTTGCTATATATACAGTAACAAATGATTAGTTCTCACAGAGAAGAGTTAGTGATCTTTACTCGAAATCTGCAGTGGCCAGACATGATACTGTGTTTTAAATATCTGGTTTGATTTGCATGTTACAGTTGAATCTTTAGACTTTTTCTAATCCACCAAGAGAGAGTGTAAGAAACACAGTCCTATACTGTGTCCTCCCGCTGTCTTATATACCTCCATTCTCCATACTTCCTCTCATATGCAATGGCAATGAGGCCTTCCTCGGCGGAAACGTCATGCATCGCCTTCCATGCTGGGGATGTGATGAGGCGGTCAACTCGTCTACCCCACGCGTCAAACTGCTCCAACTGTGGAAGCTCCTTGTCACATTGCAGGTGAAGGTCATACAGATCTGTCGCGACCCTTCCACCAAATCTCTCAAGGTCCGATTCAATTGCTGGCAAGTGCTGGTGAAGAGATATTGATAAGAAAGTCTTTTCAATATGTCAGTAATCTTACGAATGTCTGTCAAATCAGAGAGGCTGTATAAGTGGGCATGTTTGGAACCGCTACCTGATCAGGCTTCAGGCAATTTGAGTGCGGAGCTGCAATGCAATCGAGTAGAAGGCTGCGATATTGAACTTAATATTGTACACTGACCACATACAACTGACTACAAACAAACATTTGTACAAACATAGACATGCATAAAATACAAATGATAATTAGAAAGTTGATACACATGGTCATTTGATGATTGCATTGTTAACTTACATATTTCAGATACTCTTCTCAGAGAACCTGACATCTTACTATTGCATTGTTAACTTACTTAATTGAGATAATTTTCTCAAAGATCCTGACATCTTACTATTAAACACTTGGGTTTTTCATACCTGTCAACTCTCACCCATCTCGCGTGAGTCTCACGCATTTATCACCTATGTCACGCTCACACGCAAGGTTGGGAAATTCTCACGCATTCATATAAAATGTAGATAAAAATATAATTTTTCAGAATACATGCTCTCTAAGGCCATTAAATTAAAATGGTCTTAAAATCATTCAATCAGTTTTCGCCGGGGGGACTTTGGCTTAGCCCTGGACCCAGCGGGGCCTGCAGACCCTGCACCCTGGGTTCTCACGCATTTAGACATCCAGGGGTTGACAGCTAGGTTTTTTTATGATGCCATCAGAAAAAATATATTTTCCCAGAGAATTCGTGAAATAAATAATTAATAAATTGACTGCCACAAAAATTACATTATTGTAATGTAGTTTTCTTTAAAAAAAATCAGGCTCATAGTTTTATATAAAACAATATCTAGTATTGTATACGTAGCTGTCACAGAAAATATACCTAATCTTGATACAAAATCCAAGGCCCCCTCCAGAATATCAAGTGGTCGGACCCTTAAAAGACAAAAAACTTGAAAAGTACAAAAAATGGAATGTGTTCTACATTGGGTGAATTTAATTCAAGACACTATTTACACAATTAGAATCTAAGTTTACTCTCTCAGATAGAAAATTTAATATTCTACATCTCTGTGTAATTATATTGTTATAGGAAAATGCAGCAACTTTCATTTTACAGAAGTTATAAAAGTGTGTGGGGGGGGGGGGGGGGGGGGCTTAGTTCCACGTGATCATTCCAACGATCTTGACCTTTGAACTCATTCGCCGTTCAATGGTTAGTTTCATCAACAGACAGACGCCTTTTCACAATGAATAATGGTCAGCTTAAGCGTTTACCTGTGAAGGTATGTGCCTTCTAAGATAGCTACGAAGAATTGTGTCCCCTGTGAACTGATTGTGCAACTCCGGTTTGTCTTGGAAAAACGGCCCAAGTTTCGCATGGGCAAACGGAATGGCAGCTGCTTGACGTTCGAGTTCCTGCAACTCAGAAGTCATTGGTGCAGATGTGCTTTTGCGAGCAATAGTTTTGTACCAGTTAAATACTGATTGACGTAGTTTGAACATTATTGACACACAAAGACACAGTGTAAACAAGCACCAAACTACACAGAGGTGGCCATTTTAAAGTCACGTGATGTTTTTAATCACATGACCATCTATCGCCGAATTGCCCTAGACTTACTGAGTCTTCAGAGCGAGGTAGGCTCCCTGCAGCTGAGCCCGGATCCAGCTGTCCGTAGAGCTACCACATTCGTAAGCCGGAGATAAGCCGTAACGATGCGACCTATTTGTGGATCCGGACCCTGACTTTACAAAAAATGAATGGCAATTATGTAAATCGACAGGAACGCCGATTTGAAAAGTCGGGAAAGTCTGTTGCTATTTTCATTTGTCAATAACGTATAATAATGAATTGTTGGTAAACTGCAAACGATACGGAGCATTTTAATAATAGATCTACCTTTTGCACCTCGGTCAGACGAAAACGACAGCGTATTTTCATACTATTGTTTATACTCTTTGGGCTCAATAAAGGTGAAACACACAATAAGTACGCGCGTCACATTCTGATGAAGATTATATGTTTAACTAGCAAACGACTAACTAGCATTTCAAGCCTCATGATATTTTTAACAATGTGCCTCACATGTATATAATAAAGAAAGATAAAAATATAAAGAGTAACTAATTCAGTAAAATATACTTACAATAATAATGCGTCTACACTGAATGTTTTGTGTTTTTTATATACTTGTGTGTGAAAGACTGAGTTTTCCGAAGTTGAGAAAAGTGATATTTTCATTGACGTGAATATAACAATTGATATTTCACTGCAGTGAACATAAGACTTGTTATTTCACTGCTGTGAACATAACACTTTCACGGAACTATTGTCATACAAGAGTGACCTCCCCTCAAATTGTCTCCCTTTATCGTAAGTGTTTGGCCCATTCACAAACTGTTGACTTCCTTTTTAGGTTAGTTCCACATTGACAAGGCAAAATAATTGATGGAGTTACTATCGCTTCATGGCGTTTATTATTCTCTTGAAAATGTTCCGTTATAGACTGTAAATTTCTCATTTAACTCGTCAATCGAGACCGTTCGTTTAGCAAAGCGCCTATTCATTTTATTACTTGACCAGCGTGTATTATTACACTGCCAACAGCGGTCTCGGAGTTTTCAAGAATATCATTTTGTTAAAGTTGATTTTATATAATCATATCTATATGTTTGATATAGAATTTTCGTGACCCTAAATGTTTTTTGTTACTATTGTTTATATTTTTTTATGATTTTGCAAACACGAAACTACTTGTCGCAAATACAAGGGGTGGTGACCCGTTCCTGTGTGTTAGGTAGGGAGATTTTACGTTTCAATGTTTTACATTTGTAATGAAATAATAAATAGGATATCCCATGTGGAGGAGAAGCTACTTTCATGAAATATACTCTATTTATTTAACGTTTAGTAGGCCATTCAACATTAATTTGTTTGTTACGTTAACGATAAAAGAGCCTGCTGACGGACTATCGGTGCTGAATATTTATTCAATGGTTATTACATTTTTATTTTACATAGATGTAAAGAGAAGCTGGGAAGTGATTTGGCAAACGATTTGATTATTATTGTCATATTAATAAATCAATGTTTAAGAAGAAATATCATGAAAATTAGTAAATGTTTTGTGAGGATGTCGAATCATGAAAAGTAACATTTGTTAATCATTATAACAGAATCGGAGAATGGTGGATTGAAAGCTGTTTAAACTCCACAAGTAACATGTACGATAACTAATGTATGGTTTAATGGTGGATTCTGGTTTCCGTATGTACAGTGGTTATACCGAATAATTTACGAAATCCGTTGCCATTTTAATATAATTTTGCCATTTTAGCCATGCCAAACATCGACGCGGTACCGATATAGCCTGATCCCACCACACCTCGTGTGTGCATGTGCGTGCGTGCGTGCGTGCGTCGTTGTTAGCTACTAAAGTTGGATAGTTCAAGACCAATAACAGCGGCTCCATGTGTCAAAGGAATTGTAAGTACCTACAATCGTTGGCACTGTCACTTTACAGTGACTTACTCGATGTGAGTCCAAAGTTAGATAATTAGTTCGCATATTACGTGTTACTTAATACTTCTACTTTACAATTGGATTGAACTATATATACTCTAGTAATGCTAATTAACTCATCAAAATTGTTCTGGCATGAAAGTGATATTTATATTAATAGCTATACTGTACAAATAATCATAACTGATTCACTCGTAAGTTTTTATTTCCAACAATACGTCTGTAGGGCCCTTCACCCTGTCTTGTAATGGGAACTGGACAATCCGTACCCACGGAGATCCGTATACTCAGCTTTTATAGCGGAGTCGTACACACATGTTGGATAACCATGCCCACTCGTACCTAATCAACTGGACGACGCTTACGGTAGGCGTACCCCAAAAAAGCGAATCGATACACACATGGACCAGAAACTTTGATCTCTCTGTGGTTTTTAGTGACTATGTACATTTTAGTGTTGATGCTGTTAGAACTGCGACACATTATATGGTCTCTGGTATAATGAACGGAAGTTTGAAATGTATAATGAATGTTTGAAATGTATCATAAGGTAGACTTATACAAAGACTATATAGACTCCCTGGTATAATGAATGAATGTTTGAAATGTATATTGAGTGTATGAGTGTATGAAAACATCGGAGATATATCGAATTGAGTTGCCGACTAAAATTGACATATTGGCGTTTCGCGTACCGTATGAATATGGCATCCAGTGTACTGCACTGTGAGACACGGAATACCACATAAAATGGTTCAGCACGTACCAAAATGGGATTTGCACCCTCGTATATAAGAACTGTAAAAGATCTATAAATGTCTCCATATATGTTATCAAACTTTATTTCGCCAAATTTTTGCTGACGTTCCGTTCCATGGTGTTTTCTGTGTTCATACCAAGTGAAACAACATTGTCTCCCAGATCCACCTGTTTTCAGCGACGTAAGACTAATGCATGGTAAAATTTTAAATGTTCTAATAAAATAATTTAATATGTTCGAAGTGGTATGACATGGGTTATCTCCCTTACGTTGCATTTACAGCCAATGGTAATGGTTCGTTTCTATTACTGCGCAAACAAGTGACGCTTCCTGTTCCGAAAGGTGATGGCTTTATTTTCCTTCACATGTTTTTGAAAACAACAGCACTATTATTATCATGATGTGATATGAAGCTATCGTGAGATATGTGAACAATGTAGGGCGGATAAGAAGACATTTGTTTGGTCAATGGTAACTGTACCGCATTGAGAGTTGCAATTTTGGTAACTTTTTACTTGTGGCTGAAGATGTCTATTTGGAAATTGTTGCTGAAAGAACAACGCAACTAACAGCTGAATTTACACATGAATGGTTAATTTACGAACATAAGAGAAAACTGGCTGTAGTATCACTGTATTATGGAATGTCTTATGAACAGAAATAAGACATGTGTAATCGTATTCAGTCAAATTAGTGTTCATAAAGTCAACAATGCTATGTTGTAGGCTATTGTGTGACGGAATAAAACAGGAAAACAGAAATGTACCATTAAACGGGTGTTGTTTTCACCAAATCAAATAAAAAATATGAAGAGATTGGAAAGTTTACATTATTTGAAATATATCAACATGGCAAGGTTAGGTCTACAGAGCAACTAGACTGCTGGCCATGTTAGCATTAGTGGGTAGGTGATAGGACTTGGGCTTGTACTGATCAATTATCGTCATTTTTTTTAAATTACAGTGGTCACATGCATTATAACGAACAACTTTCCGCCAAGTTTATTTGATGCTAGTTTTGCTACTAATATAGCCATACATGACATTGTAACTGTCTGAAAAATCAGGCAATTAAGAGCAAAATAAGAAGAAAAAAGTGACTTGGCTTGCATTTGTATGGTTTAATATATCTCCATGTAATGGGTTTTTGGATGCTGCAGAAACATCTCATTCACTTATAAAAGATAACTTTCTCTCAAAAACAAGCCATCACCTGAGTATTTACAATGTCTTTATGATGCTACACCCCCTGTTATAGCCCGAGTAATCCCGATAAACATGGCCGTTCAAAAACCTATGATCCGATGATAATTAACCCTTGAAATGGAATATGAAAGCAATCCATAAACATTGAAAATTCAATACAACTTCAAAAAAGTACTTGAAAATAAAAGTTCAATAAATGGCGTGCGACAACCTCATAAGAGACATCCATCGAAGCCACATTTCAATAAACATGTAGTATTTTGTGTTAACTTTGATAAGCAAACATTTCATTTACATATGAAAGCATTCAATTCAAGCCATTGTGCTGGGTGACAAAACATGACATCTGAATAACTGAGGAACTGTTTCTAAGAAAGGAGCTCATACACATCTCTTAATATCTTAAAAGCGGAAGGTGTCCGGTATACTGCTTTCTTGGGTTTGAAGTTTACTGTTGTACTCACTTTGATTTTGGTAAAACTATGCAGGATTCTTAACTAAGTGTTCCTGGCTGCCAAATTAGGATAAAAAATCAGTATTTTGTTCACAAATGTTTTTTTGTTTTTTTTAAGTTAACATTTTCTTAAGATCTCAGAGGTATTTTGAGATTATATTTAATGCAACAACCAAAAAACAAAGCATTAAAACCTGTTCCTGTTTATTGGTCTTGATATATGTGAATACAGATTTCTTCTAAAAAGCCATAATTTTTTTATTTTTTTTTATATATATTAATACATTGTAACCTGAATTAGGACACTGTTGGTTCCACATTGGGAACTATTAATGACATTTGCTGCAGATGCTGGGCCTCTGAACAGGTTTAGATAAATCCCTGCTATGAGTGGGAAATAGAACTTCCATTCAACTAACTGCAACTTTAGTCACCAAAGTTTTGTGCCACATGACCACGCACAACTCTCATGTTATAATAATTACATTTTCTATAGTCTCTGGTATCACATTCACATATTTTATTCGTTACAATGATTGAGAAATGCTTTCATCAATATAGCACAGTATTGGACACAAACCAATATTTCCCCCAGACTCATCTTCCCGAGGCAAGGGAGTTAAAACTATAAAAGTCCAGTTTTCCCCCCTTGTCAAACTAGACAGGAATTCCGGAGTTACATTTTGGCTGTACTAACGAGTCTATGCAGAATGCAATCAAAATCGTGTAACAAACTAGACATCCGGTTTGTAAACGACATGGATTTTAATGTGCAGGTTTTGGTAGACTGCAGGATTTGCAAAGCATGTGTACAGCCACTGCACGCGATCAGATATTTTCCAAATCTTTTCATGTTTTTGACCAAGATGGTCAAGTGATTTGATGCACATTGCGAGGTAAGACCAGGTTTATTACAAAATACATCTTGATTGTCGATTAAATCGTCTTGACTGGGTGCTGCCATTTTGTTTGAAGCAAATGCAAGTGAAATGAGAAATGGAATCTGATTTGTCAATTGGAGGGACATAGAAGGGACAACTCGTATTAGTCAGTGCTGGCACTACGATCGAACCTGGAAATTCCAGCCTCGTTCGGCAATGGTGGAAACTGGACTTTAATGGTCTGTTAACGCCATTGCCTTGGAAAGATGCCAAAACTACTCATAAATGCACGCTATTTACTTTGTATGTATTTTCACAATGTATACAGGTTATGCATGTTTGCAAAAAAAAGTGGGTAAATCTGGTTGTAAAATCTCAACCCTTTGTGTCTTGTCTAAGTTTTATTTAAGCAAGGTGTTTATCTGGTGTATTCTTAGTAATTGGTAACAACCCTTGTGGTTCTGGGTTAGAAGGGGTCCCCAGCAATCTATGTTGGTTGTAAGGGGTGACTTAATGGATCAAGTGGGCAGACTGGATGACTTGCTTGATTATGTGTCATTGTACCCTTATGACATTAATCGGTAACACCCAATTTCAGTCCCTGTGTTGTCTGGTTCAGACTTGATTTTTAAAAAGGCCGCTATAATAGAGATGCAATATTGTTGAGTGCAGCGGTAAACAACAAATTCAATATTTGGTAACAAGGAGTCAATTTTGCACATTTCTGATGAATATTTCTGCCTTCTAATGAAAACGAGTCGCAATCACATGCATGCTATGACAGGGTTTGGTGATAAGTGGTTGTAGACAGACCCCTCACAGCTCCGTCTCCTAGTCGAAGAACAGCAGTAGAAGCATTTAGGTAGTGATGCAGGATAGTATCCAGTTACTAATTTGTAGAAAGTATATATTAATGTTTTGAGTCTGATATTTTGTTTGTCACATCAAGAATGTAATTAAAATTACGTACAGAAATGCAAAGTGATGTTGAGTTTCAGAATTTGGCGGCCTTGACCACCATATTGAAGAGGTCAGTGTCATTTGGCCTGCTACTGAGCCATTCCTGATTGTTAGCTGCAGAGCCTCATGGGCAGATACTTTTATGTGCCAACTGGTGTTCAACTATATTTGCAATACATTGTAATTAACATCCTGTGAATTTATTTGTTTTATTTCTTCTTGTTTCCAGACCAGTGTGAATTTTCTGTGCATGCCATCAACCTGTAAATAGCAACAATGTCGGGTTTCCTGGAACATGAAGCTGAAGTGTCAGAGGGGGGGTCATCCTCGGGAGATGACTCTGAATCAGAAATCAAAGTTGTCAAAAAGAAGAAAGAGAAAAAGAAATCAAGAGCTAGGATATCTGATGATGAAGAAGATGATGAAGATTTGGATGGTAGGATGACTCTATGTGCCAACATGTAATTTACTATTTCTGTAATCAGGTCAGTTGGTAGGTTGAGACAATATCAGTGGATATGCTGATTTGTAAAACTTTGTAAGTTGTATCAATTGTAATTAATATTTGATGGTATAGTAAATGAATATTTAACTGAAGCCAGTGGTGGGTGGGCAAATAGGAATACGTTTGTCACCAGAAGAGTGTATGTTTATGTTCTCCCATTTATGATTTGGTTGATCTTTACATATCTATGTCATTTGACATAGATGAGCGATTAATTGCTGAAGAGATGAAGGACTTCATAAATGAAGATGTAGAAGAGGAAGGGGACGAGGAAAGTGGAGATGAAGGTGACGGACAGGCCGGCAAACGTAAACATGACTCTGATGACCAGCTAGATGACCAGCTTTCGGATGATGACTATGATTTGATCGAAGAAAATCTTGGTATCAAGGTCAAAAGAAAGGTACAGTATCATTCTGATGTGGGCTTCTCAGAGTTTTACTTAAATATTTGAATTAATCTATTGAACCTGTTCACTTGCAAACTGTTTGGATCAGAGGTAGGTAGTTCACTACCATTGTTCACTGTTTGTACTTATTTATTGTATTTTGACATGTATTATAAAGGCTCTACTGTTTTAAGTAGTCTTGAAATGTTTTGAAGACATTGATGTTATTTAGAATGTCTTGTGTGTGCAGCAAAAGTTGAAGCGTATCCGTGTGATGTCTGATGAAGACAGCGACAAGGAAGGAGATGGTGAGGAGGATGGAAAGCACATGATAGAAGACGAGCTGTTTGAGGGACGAGGGGATGATGATGGGGATGACATGGAGGAAAGACGCTCAGTGGCTCCACGGGAGACTGAAGAAACAAACGAATTTGGCAATCTGGATGAAGAAGAGGAGGAAGAATCAGGTATCCAGAAACTGAAATCAGTGTGTCCACCACTGTAGTGTCCAGTGTATCTTGTGAGACCAGCAGTATGGTGTTTTAATATCCCTTGTTGCAAGTGGGTTTTATTTGTCGTTGGTTCTTTTATGAAGTGTACATGACACATGTAATCAAATGATATTCATACATGTACAATGGTACTACCACAGTGCTACTAAGGACAGGGATATTTCTGACAGGGTCATCTTGCTGATTTTCTTTCAGATGATAATGTTCTGCTGTTTTCTATTTGACAGATGTTGATGACTTCATTGTTGATGAGGAAGGCAAACCAATAAGTAAAGGCAAGAAGAAGAAACATATTATTCACAGTGACTCGTAAGTCAATTTTAGCTGAAGTGTTGCATGAAGAATAAAGCCGTTTTCAACCCGTTTAGTGGTATATCTGGCTGTGCATTAGTTTGTAGGATTCACAACATATCGTATCATACTTTATTTGCACCTCTTGGTTGCTTTGTAAACATGGCCCACAGTTTATAAATAAAGGACGAGCCCCCCCCCCCTTTTTTTTTAGAAATGGAGGAGACCCGTGAAGATCCGGGGTAGAATAGGTCTTCAGCAACCCATGCTTGTCGTAACAGGTGACTATGCTTGTTGTAAGAAGCAACCAAAGGGATTGGGTGGGAAGGCTCGCTGACTTGGTTGATGCATGTCATCGTATCCCAAATGCGTGGATCACAGCTCATGTTGTCAATCACTGGATTGTGTGGTCCCGACTCGATTATTTACAGATCGCCGTCATATAGCTGTAACATTGCTGAGTGTGGCGTTACACAACAAACAAACAAACAAAAGAAATAGAGGATAATCTTTTCTTCCGTGTAACTGCCAAAATTTACTAAAGTACTCATGGAAATGAAAAAAACCTGTTTTGCTGGATTTAATAATCGACACAAAGCATTACGTAGATGTAAATACGAAATAACAAAACAACTGGAAAAGTACTAGTCTGGATTTGCTAGTTTTATCTCAGTGCTCAATATAAAATGTACTTTACAGGAGGTACTTTGTAGGCACTTTCATCATTCAAAAATAAAGTCCAAATTGACATGGCAGAAACAGGCTATAGGCATTATGCAAATTAGCCTGGAAAAAAGTGATCAAAACAACAATAAAATAACAGCTATGTTTATGTACATGATAATAATGACATGTAAGTTGTTGTTTGAGAAGGGAATATGTTACTTTTACGTTCTGATATTTTGACAATGATTCACTATCCCACAATGCCACTCACAAATCACTAACCACTGACAAATCACATGCACGTGGTTTTTTTTTCATTTCCGTGAGTACTTTAGTTGAAAACCCTACATGTATTTCTGATCTTACACCTCTTTACACTGCATTGTAAAAGCTAGTAGCCAGAAACTCTCCTCCCTTTATAGATTTCAGTTCGCAATGTCTATTTCAGTGTTCAGCCCCAAGTCTGTAGCAGATGAGGGGCGGTCGGTAGCCTAGTGGTTAAAGCGTTCACTTGTCACGCCGAAGACCCAGGTTCGATTCCCGACATGGGTACAATGTGTGAAGCCCATTTCTGGTGTCCCCCGCCGCTATATTGCTGGAATATTGCTAAAAGCGGCGTAAAACCATGCTCGCTCGCTCACTCACTCACTCACTCACTCACTCACTCACTCACTCACTCACTCACTCACTCACTCATCACTGTAGCAGATGACAGAAAAAATTTCTCATTATCTCAGAATTTATTAAAATAAGAATAGTAAAAGATCTGATTCTGAAAAATATCACAATTTCTTTTCTTCTAATTTCCGTGCCATGGGCACTTAGTTTAAAACCCTGGATAAATCCCTGTTCTGTGGGGTTAGAATAGGTCCCAAGAAGCCTGTGAGGCAACTAAATGAATCCAGTGGTCAGACTAGGTGACTTGGTTGATTGTGTGCCATCGTACTGACAATGTGAGACATTCATTATATCAGTCACTGGTTTGCCCGGTCGTCTTATTTACAGGTCGTCGGCATATAGCTGTAATATTGCTGAGTGAGGCATTAAACAACAAACGAAACCATGATGTGTTAAGAAACATACCTGTGTGTACAAGAGTTCTCCGGTTATAGTGAAACACAAGGGTATGTGTGACATGTTCAAGTTATGTTTCTTTAAGCAACTTTCTGAAATGTGGATGGTGTAACATTGCAGAGCATTACAGGCAGCCCAGGACATATTTGGTGTAGATTTTGACTTTGAAGAGTTTGCTCAGTATGGTGAGGAAGAGGATGAAGAGGATATGGAAGAAGAAGTGGTAGGTTCACCTTTGTATGCTGTTGTTGAAATGATCAAAATTAATATTATGATGTTGAAACTGTTTGATTGGATATGGTTTGCACATGTTTAGAAAAATAATAAGACCCCTTGTTTTGAGGTTTCCACTACTTAACATGCTTGATGGTAGCTGGGGTCCATTGATCATGTTAACACTGACCGTTAGTGGAATATTAGTGTCAGGAAAGTGCACATATATTTATCAATTTAAGTGAATAGTAGCAGACAGATGGCTATCTGTACCAATGTTTGTTTTTTCTTGGTTTCCCTAATGCGTGAATTGAATTTGATTTCGATTTTAGCATCTCTTTTGTTGCAGTATTATTAAATGAACCCTCAATAGCAGTCCCAAACAATGGAAGGTTGTCATTGAAAGGATCATGTGTGCCATAATCTGTGTGAACTGAGAACTCATATGTACTGGTAGTGATTCCATGTTGACCAGCATGTGTTGGCTTCATTTAGGTGTTTGTTTCAGTATGAGGAGGAGGATGAGATTGAGGGAGAGGATGGCGAAACCAGGATCCGGGTCAAGAAACCTCGGAAGAAGGCCAGCAAGAAGAGCATATTTGAAGTATGGACATATTGTATGCCCTCAGTATGGTTCTCTGATGTATATGGAAGGTCAACATTACCTGAAAGTAAAAGATAATGAATACACATCCACAATTATGACCATTCTGATTAAAATCAATTTTAGAATGTACTTGTAGAGATTTTCTTTACATTTCCCCTGTACAAATGTCATGTTGGGTTTTCAGGTGTTTGAGCCAAGTGAGCTCGAGCGAGGCCACTTCACAGATACGGACAACCAGATTCGAACTACAGACATGCCAGAGAGATTCCAGGTTGGTCAGCTGTATTTACACAGTCAATAACATTATTAGAAGAGATTAAAACTTGAAACTTATTGTATCTCACTCTATGCAAATCTTCTTTCTTCTTGGATCCTATGTGGAAATGTGCTTGAACCGTGTTTCCAGCTTCTAAAACAAAAGAATTCACCCAAACACACCCCACCATCTCTATCGTTACGACCAACAACTGGGTCAATTAGGTGCTCTTGTGCATGGTAACCTTCCATGATTTGACCACGTGTGTCTCTACCAACTCATTCTCTTTCTAATCACCACTTTTTGTGGAAGTGTTTGTTGGACCTGGAGAATATAATTAGCATTTTGGGGGGCACATGATTTGTGGTCTGAAACTTGGCGAAAAAGGACAAGCTATGACTGACATGTTCCAGCTGCAGATGCACATATTCCACGTTTGACCCTCACACTCTTTGTTGGGATTGCCGTGGTCAGTGCTCCTTTGACTCCAGGTGTGCTGAAAGTCATTCGTTGGAAAAGCCTGCTGTTGTAGGAGGAGGATGAACCGTAAATCCAAGGCAAAGGATCGTGAAAATCCTCAAAGAAAACTGAAGCCGTGCCTTGAGCTCATATAGACGAAACGGTATTATCAGTCATGGACGACACTGTCTCTGACAGTTTTCTTACTGACGATGTCTCGAATCACGACCCTATGACCACTCCTCAGTCTCCACCCCACGACGATGTTTGGTCTGTTTTGATTTTTGTCCCGGCATAAACTCCGAACTCAAGTTATGAAGTACGACAGCAGATCCCATTAACACTGTATCTATTGGACATACTCTTCTTAAGATCTGGCTTGTGGATTCAGCACGTAAACTCCTTCAGAGGATCGTTTGAGGGATGACAGGTCTATCGCTCACTCCAAGCCTACCCATCGGAACGCTCTTGATCGTCGTTCTCAGGATCACGGGATAGACGTTCAACTTCTAAGGATAGGGATCAGCGTTCCTGCTCTCAAGATGGATAACTACAGCTATTAGGACTCTCCGCGCTAGTTGCTATGTGGATCGGCCACATGGATGGGATACTTACTACCCGAGACCTGCTGGGAGTTTTGCCCAACAACAGACCACCTTCGAACTTCTCCCATAAGGATCAACGTTCTTCACCAGACTTGGATCAGGAAAGTCACCGTTCAATCCTAGTCGGTTCACAAATCTCCAGATCATACTCCTTCCAGTTGGGTTAATGCAGTATCTCGTGCACTGATCCTCCCTACTAGTTGGGATCACCGAGACCAGTAGCAGGGTGGGAAACCTTCATTCGACTTTGTTTGTTCAGGCAGTCTCCATGGCTTTTCTACAACGCTCAGGACTCTCAGCTACCTCATGCGAACAGTTTCCTCTCGCTTGGCCCCCAATGGGCCCTCTTATTCAGTCTCAGTAACGATTCAACCTACTCCACAACCTTGTGGTTTGGATCCCCACTCATCTCCATCCGCCTTGGTAGACTGTTTCGAATGCAAAGACACTGAGCCTGTTCTCCTCTAGATTGCTGACAAGTTGCAGCAACCGTGAACGGCTTCAGCTGTGGATCGCCTTACAGGATTTGCGGTTAGAGATGTTTGGGTGTGTTTGGGTTGATGTTTTTGTCTTAGAAGCTGGAAACAATCACGTTTCCACATAGGATTGAAGAAAAAAGAAGATAAGCATAGTGTGAGATAGGATAAGTATATTACTATACAATTTGTGCAAAAAAATTCAAGTTTTTGCTAACCTGACTGGAAGTCAAGTGCGTTGTCATGGTCTGTTTGTCAACCCTCCACTGTATATTTATGACCTCTGTAACCATCTCTGAAATTGCCAGACTGAGGGAGCTGAAGCTTGGCAAGTATGTTTCTCCCTGGGTTAACATTATGTTTTGTGTAGATTAGATTTGAGAAGCTTTCAGTGTGATGAAATTGTATGGAACATGATGCAGTGATGTAGGTATGTCTGACAGGTGATTGTGTTACAGTTGCGGCAGATCCCTGTCCGTCAGACAGAGGAGGGAGAGTTGGAGGAGGAGGCTGAGTGGATCTATAAGCAGGCCTTCACCACAAGGTGTACCTCCACACAGGTTCGTCTCACAGTGGCAGTGGTCTTACAACCATAGTGGCAGAAACAATCCTATCAGATGTCAAAATACGAAGTGTTCACAGAATACTGATCTGATTTGAATTGAGTGATTATTTTCACCCATTAGCATGCATTTAATGAGTGTTACTTGGTGCTTGCACTGGATGTCACTGTACCTTTCAGTCCACTGGTAGTGGCCCATATCTCCCAGATCTTGCCACAACCAGTGATGCCATCAGAAACACAAGGGCATGTTTGTTGTGATGTTATTCTTTAATTGAAATGGAATTCATCTATATTTTTATGATTTCACAAAGTTCAAGTGAGCTTGAGGGGTAATTTTGCTATCAGTGCATTTACTGATGATGGTGTCCTTACTGTCTCTTGTGTTGTTCTGCCAGCCATACCTAGACCAGGAACAGAGCAGTCATCTTGGGGGCACTAACCGCCGGGGTCCCAACATGATTAACAAGATCAGAGATGCCATCAATTTCATGAGAAACCAGAGGCTTGAGGTGGGTGACATCTGTGACTTGAATAGATGCAGACCTTCTGCTTGATGGGGGAACTTCCTGATTCATTTGTGCTTGATTTTATTTGAATTTGTATACAGCTGTGTTCCATTCCTACTGAACAGCAATCTTATCTCTATGACTGTTGTCTCAGTCCATGGGAAGGAGTTCCAGCTTCAAAGATTGCTTTCTGGTCAGACCATTTTTTTAATAATTCACACCCCTAACTAGTTTACTGAAGGTAACATGTCTTTCTTCCAGGTTCCATTCATTGCTTTCTACCGCAAAGAGTATGTCGAGCCTGAGCTGAACATAAACGATCTGTGGAAAGTATGGCACTATGATGAGAAGGTAAGTGTTTGGGGGGGGGGGGGGGGATATATTTTGGACATAAAGGTATATGATCCAAGCAGTGACATCTCTGGAAATTGATCACAGAATTCTGATCCATGGCTGCCATGAAAACCAGATAAAATTGAAGCATTTGCAAACGAAACAATATCAAAGTGATTTTTTTCATTGTTGTTGTATTTTCAGTGGACACAGTTAGTCACCAGGAAAAAGAACTTGATGCGTCTATTTGAGAAAATGCAGAACTATCAGTTTGAAGAAAATTCTGATCCTGAGAAACTCCTGGAGTCTAGCGTGCGGCCATTGACAGATGACGACATTGACAGGTAATAGAACATTGTGGAGGTTATCTTATGTTTTGATATGCTGGGTTGAAAAAATGGTAGACCCTTTTGGCATACTGGTAATGTCCTGTTGGAGGCTACAGTCTCTAAGTCTGGTACGAGGAGGGGGTGAACAGTTCTCAATGCTAGGTATTGATTGTGTCAGGAAGATATTGAAGGTAAGTAGTCAGCTACATCTCTCGTTATACCTGGAAGTTACTTGGTTACTCACGTCAAACCAATACTCACTGATTTGCTAATTAGTGTTTTGAAACCCATCCATGCCTATTACACCAGTTGATAAATTATGTTTAGAAAACATGGAGTATGACTAGTATTTGTGTGAACTTCTTTTCCTCATCTTTGTGATTTAAAATGATGTAACAGAAAATTATTGTGTTCCACTATTCTTCCAGTGGCAGTATTTGAGATAATGCTAATACAGTAGTGTGTTTGCTAGAGTGAAGAATGTCCAGACAATGGAGGAGCTGAGGGATGTTTACCAACACTTCAGTCTCTACTACGGACATGATATAGTGAAAATGCGCAATGCAGAGAAGCGCAAGCAGAATGAGGAGAATGCTGCAGAGCGAGGAGAACAGGACCCTGAGGAAGCTCCGCCAGAAATGATCAAACAAGCCAGTCGCAAGAGTGGCTACTCCATATGCCAAGATGCCAAGCTAGGTGAGTCGCTGAACTTTTACTGTAGTATATGGTTGGTTGGGGATGGACTTCCATGACACAGCCAGGGTAGTCTCTGCAATATCAAGTGTACAACAAACATGTCTTGTTTCAGGTGACCTTGCCAGTCACTTTGGCCTGACTCCAGAACAGTTCGGGGAGAATTTACGAGACAATTATCAGCGTCATGAAGTTGACCAATGTCCAATAGAACCATCCGAGATGGCCAAGGATTATGTTTGTAGGTGAGTCACACACACAAGGCTGGAAGTAATATAAAATATATGTAAGTGTATATATAAAGAGGGGTGATAACTAGATGACAAATGTTGCCTGATGATCTGCCTGTCTTTCATATTGAGTTGGAGCCTATTAGCAACTCTTGTCTGTCTTCATCAGTCAATTTGCCACGGAGGAAGATGTATTGATGGGGGCTCGCCACATGGTTGCCATGCAGATTGCACATGATCCACTGGTGAGACAGAGTGTTCGACAGACATACAGTGAGAGAGCCAAGCTTATTGTTGTGCCATCAAAGAAAGGAATGAAGGTACTCTTTTTGTGCTAGTATCTAACTTGTAGCTCACCTGACTGAAAGTCAAGTGAGCTTACGTCATGGCCTGTTGGCATGTCCGTTGTCGTCCGTCGTCTGTCGTCCGTCGTAAACATATCCTCATAAACCAATGGACCATTGAAGTTGAAACTTCACATACTTATTGCCACAAATGATGGCACCCCAATTTGTTCAAGAGATTTGAATCTGATTTTCACTATGGCCTCCACCGCAGCAATATTGAAAAGCCTTTTAATGGACATTACACAGCTAACTTGTCCAAAAGTTAATGAAGTTTGGTATATGTGTATTTATTAGTGGGGCTCACATTTGTTTCATTTGTTTTAGGTTTAAAAGCTTTAAATTTGGAGCTTGCGTTTGACCTTTGCGTTTTGACCATACTGGAAACTGAAACTTTGTATGGCCATGACCCAGCCATTTTCCTTCTAAATGTAATGCAAGGTGGTATATGTGTAGTTAGTAGTTGGGCTCAAAAGATCCTTTTTAGCGATTTAAGAAATAAATGGACCTTTATTTGACTTTTTGCACATATTGACAATGTTCCCAAATTCTCTCAAGATGCATTTCCTTGCAACTGAAACATCATCTGGTCACAAACCACTGGACCAATGACACTGAAACTGTCCACAAACATGCTTGTTCCAACAAATGATCACACCTGACTTTGTTCAAGAGGTTTGAATGCCAGTTTCTGTGGCTACAGCGGCCATATTGAAAATGCTATGTTTTAGTCTGTTTTCAGTCGTACAAATGGGTATCTCTCATACCCTCACTTCTAGTCGCACGTTTAAAAGGAAGCCAGAAGCTGGAATGTAAACATTAAACTTGTTTCCGTCGGGTTGCGCACGCACCTCCCAATAATCTGTCACAAATCTCTTAGCGCGCCTCTGAGCTGGTCGCTCGAGAAAGACTTTCGCGATAGACTGCAAGTTTGTATTCTACTAGTACTTATCGTGTGTCTACAGTTGTTCTAATAAAGTAATAATAATATGTCTTACCTGTAGACTCCTGGAATGTAATCCTTGGTAATCCATTGTTTGTGTTCAACAAGTGTTTCACTGTTTGACTTGGTTATACACATGGCAACATGTCGGGCATTTGTGCCTCGTGTCAAAGAAAACTGTCTAAAGTAGATCCTCACAAGTATTGTCCTTCCTGCATAATTAAGGACAGGTTTTAAACGTGTTCGTGGGATAAACGTTGTAAAGAATGTGAGCACTTGTCTTCTATAAACTTTAACTTGTATCTTCGTGCGTTGGCGAAGCGGGCTACTGACCAGCGCTACAAGCAGAGAAGGTCATTGGGTGGATCCTTGGACTCTGCACCCTCTACATCTGGCCCTGTGGGTGGCGAGTCGGCCACACCCAAGAAATCAGTTGATAAAGACCCGCCTCAGTCAACTTCTGTTTTCGACAAGACATGTGACCGTTTGCCTGCTGATGATACTACCCGCAGGACACATTCACCATGATATCCCTCAGCTCTCTGTGTCGGATGATATTACCGAACGACTTCCTCGTCTCGATAGACCTTCAGGATGCGTATCTACATGTACCAATAGCTTCCGAGTTCCAGAAGTACCTCCGATTCGAATACCAAGGTATTCATTACCAGTGGGCGGCCCTCCTGTTTGGAATTTCTACGGCCCCGTGCATTTTCACACGGATCATGAAGATGGTCGTAGAATGGCTCCATCGGCAGGCGATCAGGGTCGCCTTCTACCTAGACAACGGGCTCCAAGTTCACCAGTTCACAGAAGCCCTTCAAGGAGAGTTAGCGACCACCCTGAGTACCTCGGGTGGATCGTCAACCTTCAAAAGTCGGACTTGGTACCAACTCGGGATCTACAGTACATCGGGATACGCTTCCAGACGGGAGTCAATCTGGTCAAGGTACCTCAAGACCGTTGGGACAAGATTGTCAGCAGCGTTCCGAGACTTCTTCATGCCCCGACGTCGGTGCACACGTGGCAGGAAGTCCTCGGTCTGTTGACATCGGCCCAAGACCTGACTCGCCTGGGTCGTCTTCACCTTCGTCCGCTGCAGAGATTGCTGTACGCCCACCTGGAGTTTCCCAACCTGGTTCCACTTCCGGCGCAGCTACGTTGTCATCTGGAGTGGTGGCTTCAGCCGTCGAACGTTTGCGAAGGCGTCTTTATGAGCGAGCCTCTGTTCAAACTACACCTATTCGTAGACGCGTCATTGGAAGGCTGACGAGCGCACTTCGGGCACGACCAAGCGGTCGGGCTGTGGTCGCCAGAAGAAAAGGTCCTCCACATCAACTACATCGAGATGGAAGCAGTGATCCGGGCGGTCGAGTTCTGGAAACTTGGACTCCGTCGGAAACGGCTGATGATACAGTCGGACAACTCCACAGTCGTCCACTGCGTCAACAAACAGGGAACGACTCGGTCGGCGGCCCTTCTGGACCGGACATTCAGGTTCTTCCGCCTCGTCGACGACTTGGACATGGGTGTATGTGCCAATCACATCCCGGGGCCAAGAATGTGATAGCCGACACCCTGTCGAGACCATCTCCCGTCTCCCATCTCCCACGGAGTGGATGATCCATCTGACAGTCTTTCAACTGCTGACAGATCGACTCTAGTTGCCCCAAGTAGATCTCTTCGCAACCCGGTACAACAACCCCCTACCTCGATTCGTGTCACCGGTTCCAGACCCACGGGCATGGTACCACGATGCTCAAGCGATATCGTGGAAGTCTAGATGCTTATGTGTTTCCACCAACGGTGCTGTTACCATCGATACTCGAGAAAGTTCGTCAAACGGCCAACCTACGTCTGCTTTTGGTCGCGCCTTATTGGCCGGCCAGAACGTGGTTCCCGGAACTTCTTCAGATCATCGATCAGCCACCGTTCCCATTGCCAGATCGAGACGACCTCCTTCTTCATCCTCACACCGACGACTTGCATCCGGGGTTAAAAAACTTCTAGCTTCGTGCCTGGGTTTGCTTAAGACCTCGTTAAGGAAGAAAGGATATTCGGCTAAAGCGGCAGCCCTTGTCTCGTCGGCACATCGAGTTACGACTCGTAAGCTGTACGATGACACCAACCAACTGCTAAACCAGACCCTCCACTTCCTCGACTTGGTGGTCAGCCTGGACCTGTACTTTAAGAAAAAGGAGCTCGTCTTGCACTCACCAGGTTGAGAGCATGTTCTGGCACAGGCTGTCCAGGCCTAACTAGGTAGCTCCCACCGAGTGGAAGCTCCACCCAGAGGTCTTCGCTGGACTATGTCAAACGGTCGACACCCAAACATCAATCTGTTGGCCACATCTCTGAACTGCCAGCTGTCGCCTTACATTTCACCGGTGCCGGATCCGGCCGCAGGATTACACTCGTACGCATTTCCGCCTCCGGTTCTCCCTCCCACGGTTCTTCTAAGATCCAGGCCACTCGGCACCTGACACTGATTTTGGTCGCGCCTTGGTGGCCGGCCAGAAGTTGATTTATCAACCTCAGAAACATTGCCAGACACAACCCCTGGAATTTCTGGTGTGGTCCAACCTTCTGCTCCATCCACACAGTCGGTTGCCACACCCTAACACCTGTCTGCACGCCTGGCACATCTGCAGAAAGCCCCATGAGCCAAGGGCTATTCGGCTAGAGCGGCCAAGGCTATTGCTTCAGCCCACCGTCCATCTACACGGGGACTGTATGATGATAAATGATGCTCGTTCCAGGCATTTTGTTCAGACAAACACCAGGATCCGATGACAGCATCACCGCAGTTCCTGGCTAAGTTCCTTCTGTACTTGCGCAGCACCCGTCGGTTGAAGGGCACTACCACCCCCACATACCCGGTCGCCATCAACTCTGTTCTTGCCATCCCGGACGATCGGAGAATGACGAAAATTCCCGAACTACAGGCCTGGCTGCGCTCGTTCCGTCTTGAAGACCAGAAGGCCAAGTTCAGACCACCTGCGTTGGATCTGAATGTGGTCTTAAAGGCCCTTCAGACGGCTCCCTTCGAACCACTCCACTTGTCTTCCTTCTACGACTTAAGGAAGAAGACAGTGTTGCTACTGGTTTTTGCTACTGCCGCTCGAGTCAATGAGCTCCAGGTCCTCGACGTCTCCCGTGTCCGGTTCGAATGCGGTACTCAGGGCGCCGTTCATCGTGGACCGTGGACTCTCAGGACAGCCTGATAGATCATTCATTCTCCCCTCGTCCATTGTGGGTGCCGATGATGAGGAGGAGCGTTATTATGCCCAGTAAGGGCACTGAAGGTTTTCTACGACGATCTAAAGCCTGCCGCAAGTCTAGGAAACACCTTTTTTCTGCCGGTCTCCCCTTCGTCGCAGTCGTTGGTCAACCAGAATACTGTGGCTCCGCGTGGTAATCCTCAAAGCTTATGAAGCCGTAGGATTGGACCCTCCCCCAAAGCTATCAACCCACATGAGATCAGGACGATCGCATTTACCAGGGCTCTTCACAGTATAACTGTTCCATCCAGTCGCTCATGGAAGCCTGTTCTTGGCAATCTCACACCGCCTTCGCCAACCACTACCTCCGTGATATAGCCTTGGAAGATGTCGCCGGCGTTCACAGTTTTGGTCCCTGGTTGTAGCCCAGAAGGTCACCTATCACCGACGCCACTGATTCTCCGATACCCGAGCGGGGCCCGTCGACCTCTCTGGTGTTTATCACCCCAGACAGGACGGCTCTCTGGTGTTCCGCTTTCGCTCTTAGGTCAGTTTTAGTTTTTGGCTACCCGCCTCATTCTATTTCTGTCACCTATTCAAGTGTTTCGTTTTTGCATCGACTTTTGTTTCCTGAAGACAGGAATGGTCGTAGATGTTGAGGTCATCACTTGTATGCGGTGCGGATTCATCGGACCCTGACGAGGGTTTATTATGGATCACATCTGAAGGTATGCCCACCGGCCATGCTGTCTGATAAAGATGCAATACGGAGTAATGCAGGATAAGTTAAAGAATTTAGTAAAATCTAAATATTTTTTACATTTGTATACTTATCCTGCATTACGAATTAGTGCCCTCCCTTCCCTAAGCTGCCTCCCCACGAAGTTTCAGATGTTATGTGTAAAGCAGTTATGTGTTTTGACGTGACGTCATGACTTCCGGGTCACGTGCTGACTGTGAGAGGGCGCTGCTTCCTGTACTGGTTGGGACAACTTTTCTTCAGCAGCTGGATCTCACACAGTTCGTCTCTCTGTCAAAAGACAGCACTAAATGCAATACGGAGTAATGCAGGATAAGTATACAAATGTAAAATATATTTAGATTTTACTCATTTTAGTTGTGAACTTGAAATGCTAATTACTCAGTATCGACGTCTATAAAGCGACCCCACATATAAGGCCTTCAAAATCGATGAATTTATTTACTCTGTCTGTAAAGTGAATCGGAATGAAGCACGTCACCAGTGCATACACAATCCCCACATTTGCAATAGAAAGATTACATCGTATCCCTTCAGCGAATTCAGGGAAAGGAACAGATGACAACAATTAAACTTGGTCAATACAAATTTCAAATTTGAGATAAAACATCACTCTACATGATGATTTACCGATTAAATTTTATTTCCTCTGCTGATAGGCATTGTTTTATATGCAGAGATTAAGATTACCATGTGTATTGTCTCGTAATCTAACCCTGAAGCAACAATCAGCAGTGCACACGTTTCTCGGAATCTACCAGGGATTCCGTTAAAAATTACCCAATGATATAACTTGAACAAATTTTGATACAGTGATCAGAAGAATTGTATCTTAAACTATTATTTTATCAGGAATAATTTATTCCATTATCATGTTATTTTAGTTGCAGCTTCACTATATACATTTGAAATAAATTAATAACCATAAGCATAGCACTCTGGTACAGCTGATCGCTATTGCCAGATATTTGTTCGTATGGAATAATTTCACTGTTGATGCTCCCCTGCTCACAATAGCAAAAACTTTATGTTGACATATACTAGTCAAACTACAACAAGTATGACTTTCAGCGAGTCAATTTATGGCATTTATGATATATGTATCCATTCTCTATCCACTAAAGTTCGTTTAAAGGCATCAATAGTGGTGACAGTGGTTGCTGTAAATAATGGTGAGTTATGCAATCTTCCGATCACTTCACATACAATTTCGCCGAAATTAATGTAAACAATATTGGATGAAATTTTGAATAAAAATAATAAATAGATTACAAACCTAAGTCCAGATACAAAATGAACACTTTTTATAACCATACAGTGGAATTACGTGATTATTTTGCCGACTTCAGTACGGATTTGTTGCGTGGTATTTGCGGTGTTACATGCTCACGGTAATGTCTTTAACCCTGTGTATAAGACGATCCCCTTGAAAGCCCCCTAATTCTAGGTACAAAAAAACTCATCATCTTATACACAGCGATATACAGTACAACATTGTGCAATTTTGACTGACAATAGTGCTGGAGGTCATTAAACGAGTAGTAGGTAATTTATTTCAGCAAGTGTATTGTATTGTATTGATACAGAGGAAAAACGTATCGTGTATCTTATTGTGACATGAAAACTCATGATGCACTGATGTATCTTTTCACCCATGTGCAGAAAATATTTTAATGTCAACATTATTTTAATAAAAGTGGCATTATTTGGTTCAGTATAAGTAGAAACACTTGTATGTAATCTGCCTTGGACAAACAGGAGAGACATCATAGAGAATGGTTGTTTTGTTGATTATGTGTCCAGGGATATCAAAGTATTATTCTATACCTAGTGCTTTTCATTTGTGTCGCAAGGAAATTGATGAGGGACACAGTTGCTACACTCTGAAGTATGTTCGCAATAAGCCAGTGAAGGACCTCCGAGATGAACAGTTCCTGCGACTTACTCAGGTAAGTGTGTTCTTTAGGGAGAAGTAATGCTTGCAAGCTATTAAGAAGTACCGGTACCTCTTTATTGCATTAATTACCCAAGTGAGTTTCCATTGAGTTGTATTCATTATTGCTACTTCAATGAGTTACAAATGCTGAGGCCATTGTTTGCCACTGATATGATGTGGTGACAATTTTTTGTCACAATAACTAAACACCAGATCCCAGGGAATATGCTGCTTAGATCAAGTTGGGAAATGGGCCCTGTGCAAATGTACACCTTGACTTGATGTGGGATATTGTCTGGACAGTCGGTTCACACCTTCACTAGCGCCGACTATCATTGTCAGGCCTTGTGACACAGGGACATCTCCCTTTGCCCAGTACATGCGCTGTGCCGTTACCGACGTCAATAGTCATATTTGGTTACACCGTTAACGTTTCTTCCTTCCAACTGTTGAAAACAGCTGCAGGAATATATCTAAAATACTTTAACAATCGGGTTGCGCTCAGGTTACATGTTTATGCCCATGCTTGACTGAATTCGCATGAAAGTCAGGATTTGGAGTCCTGCATGTTTTGTCTTTCTTTATATATAATGTTGGCCTTAACTAAGTACCGATGGTTCCTGATCTTCTGAGTACCTCCAGTTGCAAAGTAATTTCAGACCCAGGCTTACCTGTAATCATAGTATTCCCCTTATGAATAAACTTATCCTAACATAACAGTTCATGACTGCCCATCACATCCATCCTCTCAAATTTGGATCGATTTGTCACCTGTCTGCAGGCGATCATAGGAAAAGGTGACGAGTAGTAAGGGATCATGCTGGGACAAATGTTATACATTGTTATGCACTGTTCTATGATCAAAGCAAGAAGGAATATTGCATACTGTTGTGTCAGGATATCTATATTGATAATGGGAATACTCCAATCAGTAAAATATATCTGAGAAGTATGAGTTTGTTTTATTCCACCAAATGCTAATATTATGTGTTCACTACTAATTTCTTTGCATGAAGTACAGCAAGCTTAACTTACAGTGTTACACATGGTAACATTCTCACAGAACTTCTTGAAGAAGTGTTTTTTTGTTTTTTGGGGGCTTTAGGATTTTACACAAAAGAAAATATGTTTATGCAGTGTCCAACCCAGAATTGAAATTCAAGGGAGACTTGTCCCCCCATCATGTAGAAAATAGGGGGGATTTTGAAAAAGTAGGGGGGGATAACTGCTTTCTTCAAAAATGTCTTATTTTGTATTATGTACTGGAACATCATCATATAAAAGTGTAACAGATCAGAATAAAGAACTGCTTTTTAGAATCACTAGGACCGGGATCGATTTCCCCTTCAGTTTGAGAAGTCATTACAGTGACTGTGGTTTCATCATTGTCTTTTTTAGAACATCTATTTTGATTAAAAAAGTCTGTAATGTTTTTGTTTTGGTGAGACATTTTCACTATTCAAAAGATCGTCTGCAATGAAAGTCGGCGATTCATATTGTGTGATTTCAGAAACGAAACTAAAACGAACTAAAATGCTCAAAAATACTTCTAGAACTATTCAATATAGAATATTTATTTGTCTTTTAACATCTTGTCAAAGGTTTTTGATTACTAAACACCAAAATACAACACAATTTTGATCAAAGTTTTGATACACTTTCTACTAAAGTACCGGTAAATTAAATTTCGTTTCCAATGCAAATCCTGTCGATAATTTATTCAGCAACCCAAGGGACGTATAACTCTTGTTTGAACTTCCGGTTATTATCGATCGGTTTTTGACAGTTGTTTACAATGTTTGCTGTGTACTGTCTTTCTTTGGTAATTGATAAAAGATTTAGTGAGTATTGAATCTAAAGGTAGGGATAAACAGCTGATAAAGTAAGTGACTGTACAAGAAATTACTGTGCGCGACAGATCGCGCTTTGAGTTTTTTTTAGGGGCGATTTGATTTTTTTTAGCGTGGATCGCGCAATCGCGCGGTCTGGGTTGGACACTGTTTATGAAGAAATACAAAAGAGTCTGTCATGTTTTATGTGATACCAAAACACAGTGATGTTGTTTGACAGGCGGAGGAGGAAGGGCTGCTGACATTGTCTATTTCCATTGATGAGGAGGGCAGCAGTGTCAGTACATACTTTGAAGAAGTCCGCCAGCTCTATTACAAAGTAAGGACGACCTTTATGTGGAATTATTGCATGATGGTATTAATGACTTGTTGGATGTTTTTCACAGGCATGACAAATGTTATGCTGAGGTTTGTTTTGTATCCTAGGATGAGTTCAGCCACTTGGTTCAGCAGTGGAACATCCAGAGGAGTGAAGCCCTGAAACGTGCCCTCACCAAGATCCTGTACCCACAGATGGAGAAGGAACTGAGGACCAAGCTTCTCGCCGAGTCCAAGGATGGTATTGTCAAGGTACAGTGCTCTGGTCTTATTGGGGCTGTTGGGGTACCCTAATTGTTTTTTATATGCTGGCTTGTCATATCAAACCCCCAGGTTCAATTCCCATCATAGGTACAATGTGTGAAGCCAATTCTCCTCCCCCTGACATATTGGTAAAATATTTCTTTCAATTTGCTTTAGACCCACATTAATTACCCATGGGAATGACTAGGAATGAACTTGCCCAGTTGTATCAGAAAACATTGGTTTGTGAAAGGAATGTAACTCTTGATTCTGCACATTTGAAGAATATGTTTCAGCACCTTAGCTATTAACAGCTAAGTGTGCCTGCATGCGTGCGTGCATAATTCTAAGGCAGCAGTAGGGATGATATATTTCAATGCACTGTGATCTATTTTGTTCCATGTGATGTGTATCTGTAAGATCTTGCTGAACCTTTTTTTTTCTGTAATTTCAAAACGATAATATAATGCACAGTTAGAATGTAGAACTGGAGAAATGGAATGCAATCAAAAAGACAAGAAGAAAGCATTAAGTGTTTCTCCTGGTGCAATCAGTATGTACATAAACAAAGCAAATACTTCTACTCATATACATGTTTCTCCCATATTTGTGTGCAGGCCTGTAGTCGCAAGCTGTACAACTGGCTGAAGGTGGCTCCCTACCAGGTGGACCAACAACTAGAGGACGACTATGACTATGATGACAACCATGGGGTCAAGGTCCTCGGGGTGGCATTCAGTACTGACAGGTGAGGAGGACGGCACAGTGGGTGGTGAGTGTGGGGAAGGGGAAATCTCATTCAGCACTGACAGGTGAGGATGGCACAGTGGGTGGTGAGTGTGGGGAAGGGGAAATCTCATTCAGCACTGACAGGTGAGGAGGACGGCACAGTGGGTGGTGAGTGTGGGGAAGGGGAAATCTCATTCAGCACTGTTAGGTTGCAGGAGTAGGGGTCGATCATTTGATATTCGGGGGGTGGGGTCACTATGATTTTGTATTGGAACTAGATATTTTTTCAGCTACAGCTGCACAACCATATTTTTTTTTAATTAAGCCTATGAGCTTAAATATTGTTTTAGAAAACCCACCTTGCAACAATGTATTTGTTTTAGTCTGTTTTCAGTCGTACAAATGGGTATCTCTCATACCCTCACGTCTAGTCGCACGTTTAGAGGAAGCCAGAAGCTGGAATGTAAACATTAAACTTGTTTCCGTCCGATTGCGCACGCACCTCCCTATGACATGTCACAAATCTCTCAGCGCGCCTCTGCGCTGGTCGCTCGAGAAAGTCTTTCGCGGTAGACTGCTAGTTTGTATTCTACTAGTACTTATCGCTTATCTACAGTTGTTCTAATAAAGTCATAATATGTCTTACCTGTAGACTCCTGGAATGTAATCCTTGGTAATCCATTGTTTGTGTTCAACGCGTGTTTCGCTGTTTGACAGTGATTCTACACGTGGCAATATGTCGGGCATTTGTGCCTCGTGTCAACGAAAACTGTCTAAAGTAGACCCTCACAAGTATTGTCCTTCCTGCATCATTAAGGACGGGTTTTCAACGTATTCGTGGAATAAACGTTGTAAAAAATGTGAGAACTTGTCTTCAATAAACTTTAACTTGTATCTTCGTGCGTTGGCGAAGCGGGCCGCTGACCAGCGCTACAAGCGGAGATGGTCATCGGTTGGATCCTTGGACTCTGCACCCTCCGCATCAGGCCCTGTGGGTGGCGAGTCGACCACACCTCAGAAATCAGTTGAAAAAGACCCGCCTCAGTCAACTTCAGTTTTCGACAAGACACGTGACCATTCGCCTGCTGATGATACTACCCGCACGACTGGTCTTTCTGTCATTCGGTTGATCGAGAGCGTCACTCAGCCTCCCCCGTTACGACGGGACCGGGTGGTGACGAGGACCATGAGGGGACTATGGTCCCCAGTCGGTCCGCATCTCGTTCTACCAAAGACGATAGGGACGTCGTGCGGGACAACAGTGGACACAGAAGTCGTTCCCGTTCAAGTCGGGACGACAGGATGAGTGCCTCGTCGAGAGACAGTACACGACACGAGGGCGTTCATCGTCATCGTGGTCGTCGAATGTACAATTCGGACGATAACTACGATGGGGATCGTAGTACTTCTACAGTTAGAGATCGTAGCCCTCGTCCCCACGGGGACGTGCGACGTTCTCGCAGGGAGAGTTTGGGGGTTCAGCGTCGTAGTGAAGATAGTGACAGAACGACGACCTCGTCTCACTTTCATATTGACCCGGCTTTGATAGCCCAGATCACGGCGGCGGTCCTCGCCTCGACGGCGTCGACCAAGAAGGATACGACTACGTCAGGGGTCCATGGCCCGTCAACTAGTACAGCAGCTCCTTCATCTACGCCTCCACACTCGACGTCGACGATGGGTTGTGACCACGGCCAGCAAAGAACGATGACAACCACGACGCGTGCGGGCTTTAAGGTCGGAGATACACCGCAGTCTCTTCAGTTTTCTCCTCCCGATGTCTTCAGAGCAATGGCTCACGATATGGACCAGAACTTTGGCTCTGCTCTGCCTGGGCAGAGCTTCTGCAAGCCGCCTGGTCGATCTCGTTACCCGATCTATGGCATGCCGTTTTCGTCACCCATGACTAGGGATTTGGACTGGGGGCTACTATTCAAGAGACCAGCACCCTCCACATTTGGAATCCATGGGCACTGCTGTTCGTAACCAGCTGCAAACGCTTGCTATGCTGTCGACAGCGATCAAGGCCCTCTCAGTGTACTTTGAGGTGAAAGAACCCCAGGACGAGGACGACAGGACGGTGCCATCGGTCCTCACCTGTATGCAACGGTGGATCTAGGACGTCCTCGCCCAGTCCGATATGTATCGGGCCAGATTACTACGGCGCGTCGCCATGGTTACATCGACTGCACTGACCTACCTGATCGTCATGGCAGGTCTCTCTTACGGGCCCCGTGGACATCGCAACAGTTGTTCGACGGTCGTACAAACGACGTTCTGGACAAGTATTCCAGGGAAGCCGAGCGTGACATCATCATTTCGGCTTCACCCAACCTGTCCAGACGGCCACCGGTTTCGAACGCCCCACGACGACGTTACCGAAACAAGAATGTGCAACGGGCCTTCCGTAGGGACGTGCCTCGACAGCCGTCCCGCAAGGGAGGTTCCGACAGGAAAGGTCGCCAGGTCTCCTTTTCCAAGTTTCCCAGAGGGGGAAAGTACCAGCGGGGGAGGAAGTGAGGTCCATTCCCCCGCCGTCGCCGTTGTTGGAGTCTCCCCCGGTGACACTACCTTTAGACGAGCTACCGGTAGGGGGGCGACTTCGTCCCTATGCCCACAAGTGGGTTTTCCTCAACGCAACATACCTCCAACCACCCGACACATTCACCTTGATATCCCTCAGCTCTCTGCGTCGGATGATATTACCGAACGACTTCCTCGTCTCGTTAGACCTTCAGGACGCGTATCTACATGTACCAATAGCTTCCGAGTTCCAGAAGTACCTCCGATTCGAATGCCAAGGTATTCATTACCAGTGGGCGGCCCTCCCGATTGGAATTTCTACGGCCCCGTGCTTTTTCACACGGATCATGAAGACGGTCGTAGAATGGCTCCATCGGCAGGCGATCAGGGTCGCCTTCTACCTAGACGACGGGCTCCAAGCTCACCAGTTTACAGTAGCCCTTCAAGGTGAGTTGGCGACCACCCTGAGTCTACTACGGTACCTCGGGTGGATCGTCAACTTTCAAAAATCGGACTTGGTACCACCTCGGGTTCTACAGTACATTAGGATACGCTTCCAGACGGGAGTCAATCTGGTCCAGGTACCTCAAGACCGTTGGGACAAGATTGTCAGCAGCGTTCCGTGACGTCTACATGCCTCGTCGTCGGTGCACACGTGGCAGGAAGTCCTCGGTCTGTTGACATCGGCCCAAGACTTGACCCGTCGAGGTCGTCTTCAACTTCGTCCGCTGCAGAGATTGCTGTACCCCCACCTGGAGTTTCCCAATCTCCTGGTTCCACTTCCGGCGCAGCTACGTTGTCATCTGGAGTGGTGGCTCCAGCCGTCGAACGTTTGCGAGGGCGTCTTTATGAGCGAGCCTCCGTTCATACTACACCTATTCGTAGACGCGTCATTGGAAGGCTGGGGAGCGCACTTCGGGGACGACCAAGCGGCCGGGCGGTGGTCGCCAGTAGAAAAGGTCCTCCACATCAACTACATCGAGATGGAAGCAGTGATTCGGGCGGTCGAGTTTTGGAAACTTCGACTCCGTCGGAAACGGCTGATGATACAGTCGGACAACTCCACAGTCGTCCACTGCGTCAACAAACAGGGAACAACTCAGTCGGCGGCCCTTCTGGACCAGACATTCAGGTTCTTCGCCCTCGTCGACGACTTGGACATGGGCGTACGCGCCCGTCACATCCCGGGGGCCAAGAATGTGATTGCCGACGCCCTGTCGAGATCATCGAGGCCGTCTCCCACGGAGTGGATGATCCATCCGACAGTCTTTCATCTGCTGACAGATCGACTCTGGTTGCCCCAAGTAGATCTCTTTGCTGCCCCGTACAACAACCGCCTCCCTCGATTCGTGTCGCCGGTTCCAGACCCATGGGCATGGGACCACGACGCTCTAGCGATATCGTGGAGGGTCTAGACGCTTACGCGTTTCCACCAACGGTGCTGTTACCATCTCAACTGGTGAAAGTTCGTCAAACGGCCAACCTACGTCTACTTTTGGTCGCGCCTTATTGGCCGGCCAGAACATGGTTCCCGGAACTTCTTCAGATCATCGTTCAACGTTGCCCTTCTTCATCCTCACACCGACGCCAGCTTCACGCCTGGGTTTGCTTAAGACCTCGTTAATGAAGAAAGGCTATTCGGCTAAAGCGGCAGCGCTTGTCTCGTCGGCACATCGAGTTACGACTCGTAAGCTGTTAGATGACAAGTGGACCACTTTCTCCATTTTCGCCAGGCCTCATGGCTTCAACCCGGCGGTAGCGACCCCACCACAGGTGGCGGAGTTCCTAGTCTCTCTCCGGTCATCTCGGCGTCTGAAAGGGTCGACGATCTCGACATATCTGGCAGCTTTGGCTTCAGTAGTGCCGTCTCCTACGGGCGACAAGCTCACTAACGTACCGGAGTTGCAGAAGATTCTACGTGTCTTCATGGTTGAAGATCAGTCACGTAAATTCCGACCGCCGGCCTGGGACCTCGATGTCGTTCTGTGCAACCTGTCTAGTCAGGTTTACGAGCCTCTCGATAAGGTCGCGTTCGACTTATTGTCTCAGAAAACGATTTTTCCTTCTCTCGCTGGCTACGGCTGCGAGAATTACGGAAATACATGCCATTGACGTCGGTCGGATTACGTTCGATCAGCGTAACCATGGCAACGTCCATCTTGGTCTCCGATGGGATTTTTTAGCGAAAAATTAACTTCCTGGCCAAGATCCGAGAATGTTCAACATTCCTTCCTTGTCTGCCATTATGGGCCCTCGTGATCACGCTGATCTCACCTTGTGCCCAGTTCGTGCGCTTCGTATTTACCTGCAGCGTTCTGAACAGCGACGACAACATTTTCGACGGCTGTTCATACCGCTCTCAACCATTGCAAAGAAAGAGATTACACGTAATACTCTCTCATTTTGGTTGAGAGCGGTAATTCTCTGAGCTTACGAGGCGCAAGGACTCGCACCTCCCACCTCATCTCATCCGCACGAAGTTCGAGCCTTCACTTCAACATTAGCACTCCACAGTAATTGTTCGCTACAAGTTATTATGGAGGGCTGCTTTTGGAGATCTACTTCAGTGTTTGCTTCGCATTATCTTAGAGATATCTCCACAGAAGAGGTTGAAGGACTCAAACAGTTTGGTCCACTCGTGGTGGCACAACAGATCTCTCAGAAAAGACAGTGAATTCGTGTTTTATTCACTTTGGAGTTTTTGCTCGACACTTCGTGACATACTACAGGTTACAATAAAAGCTGTTGGTGAATGTACGCATTCTTATGGTTTTTTATTATGGTTATTCGGTGTATGCATCGTCTTCCCATACATTATAGTACTGCTCGTATTTTTTAGTTACTTTGTATACTGCGAGTTGCTCTGTAACTAAATTATGCGCCGACCTCACTTCGATCCGGGTTCAACTGACGTGTGCAGTTGTACTGTCGCATCGATAATTAGTTGTGTGTCGATGAGCATTACCCATGCTATTTTAGTTACCTTGTCTACGGCGAGTTCTGTAACTAAATTATACGCCGACCACATTTCGATCGCAATTCAACTGACGTGTGCAGTTGTCCTGTCGCTTCGATAATTAGTTGTGAGTCGAAGAGCATTAAACATGCTGTTTTAGTTACCTTGTATACTGCGAGTTGCTCTGTAACTAAACTATTCGTCGACCACACTTCGATCGCAGTTCAACTGACGCGTGCAGTTGGCCTGTCGCATCGATAATTAGTTGTGTGTCGAAGAGCATTAACCATGCTGTGCGTTCGTGATAAACAACTTGTCTCGTCCGTGCATCTGGTCGAATGTTCTATTGTCACTACAGGGGTGAGGAACTTGGTACATTCGACGTGAAAGTGGTCACTGCCTGATTACTTTCCCGACCCTCCTTCCAGTGTTCCGTCGAATTCTACCCATTTGTACGACTGAAAACAGACTAAAACATGGGTTTTTCAGATTAAAAACGATGTTTTATTGGTCTGTTTTCAGTCGTACGTTCCCACCCAGCCATCCCCACAGGGAAGTAATCCAGTCCAGTCCTGCTTGATGGCTTATTCTTCGAGATTTGTGACATGTCATAGGGAGGTGCGTGCGCAACCGGACGGAAACAAGTTTAATGTTTACATTCCAGCTTCTGGCTTCCTCTAAACGTGCGACTAGACGTGAGGGTATGAGAGATACCCATTTGTACGACTGAAAACAGACCAATAAAACATCGTTTTTAATCTGAAAAACCCATTTTTCTGTGTTTGTGGAAATGGGGATTGTGGGGAGGGGAATGGGGTTTAGGGTGGCATTCATTACTGACAGCAGGGGAGGACAGTGAGTCGAGGGGGGGATTGGTTGGGGGTGGCATTCAGTACTGACAGCAGGGGAGGACAGTGAGTCGAGGGGGGGATTGGTTGGGGGTGGCATTCAGTACTGACAGCTGGGGAGGACAGTGAGTCGAGGGGGGGATTGGTTGGGGGTGGCATTCAGTACTGACAGGTGAAGAGGATGGCACAGACAGATAGGGAGGGGTGTGAGTGGATTACAGTTACGATTGCATGCCAAACTTTCAGCTTTGTACATCTGCACGTTAAGTGTAGGCTCATGGCAGACATTAATAATGGTTTGTGTATAAATACAGGGACAGTACAGCATTTGGTGCACTGATTGATGGAGATGGTGAGGTGACCGACTTCATCAGACTGGAGCACATTTTGAAACGTCGCAATGCCTGGCGCCAGATGGACAGAGATGCCAAGGTAGGGATTGTGATATTCAGAGAGTAGTAGTAGGAGTCTGAGTAGGAGTAGGAGGACTGACAGGATATGAGAAACTGATACAGATGGCCTAAATGTGGAAACCATATCTTGCTCTAGATGTATGACAGGATGTAGGCCTAAGGGTTGTGCTATATGTATATGATATGTGACATGGCTACAGTGAGAGGGGCGTACATCAAGGATCTGTTGATGTTGTAGGAGAGTGAGATGGAGAAGCTGAAAGACTTTATTTCTACCAAGAAGCCCCATGTGGTAGCTGTCACCGCAGAGTCCAGGTGAGTTAGTCCATGAGTCCATGAACACCCCAGCTAAATATGTATAAGGGAGGTTAGGTGTAACCTGATGTGTTCACTTTCAAATGATTCAAGATACATGTTTCCCGGAGGGACAAAGTGTTGTTACAGGGGTGCCCTTTGACAATGTTTGGTCCTGTGTTACAGGGATGCTCTGCGGGTAATTGAGGACATCAAGCAGCTGATTGGTGACCTGGAACAGGAGGAGCAGATGGCCCCCATCAGTGTGGAGCTCATGGACAACGAGCTGGCTATGGTGTACGAGGCCAGCAACAAGTCACAGGTAATGTTGACACAAAGAATTACAAGCGAAGATTGACTGAAGATTATCACGACACAACATATTGTATTCTCTTTCAGATTAAATCCTCCTTGGGGCACTTATTGCATTTTCCTTGCTCAAGAAAATCTACATGACATAGTTGTAACCATTTTCCTTAATAAAAAATGTTACCACACAAAAAACAACGTTTTTGTATGATATATGACCACCCCAACGGGGCCTCACCCTCTACAGGCGACACACGCCAAGGGGAGCGACTCTCACCCAAATCACTTTTCCTTATGTCATCTGACAGTGCAGACGTAAGTCAAGACTCAAAGAGAATTCCTTCATCCAACTTATCATTGATAACTGGAGACATGGCTGACCAAACTGTATGTGTGGTATATTTCCCTTTCTTTCTTGCAAAGGCGTAATTCCTTTTATGTTTTTTTATATGTTGTAACTTGGCCGCCACGTGCACGTGCCACGTTCATTTCACGTAATGGCGGCCGCTGTGTAGCTTATTCTGTTCTGATAAATTCCATGTTTGGGTACAACCGACATGGCTTTTTTATCTTAACATTATTTCACTACATTGTTTCCTTTTCATCCTGCTGTAACTTTAAAAGTGCCCTATGGGCGCAAGCTACTGTGCGGTTTTCCGCTCTGGGAGGAGGTTTACTACGCTCCCTTTGTATGTTACAAATGTATACACGGACCTTGGCTATCTATATCGCATGACGCATTTTCGTTACACCTTTGCATATGTTTGTGTTGTAATTATGCATGTATCTTTCATCAACTCTCACTGATACATATGCCTCCCCGTTCCCCATCCGTTTAGTTTTAACAGTCTGTTGCAGACTTTCAAAGTTTGTAGGGATGCGAGGCTGCGATACCCCCGCAAGATCCGCACCCTAAATGCCTTCGCTGCTTGGCGGAGGATGGCCCGATGATCAGCCATGCGCCATATGTGGAAACTTTACCCCCAAAACCAGAAAGAGGCGACACGCAGACTTGCTGCATTTTGGGGGGTTATTGGAGGCGGGGGTAGATATATGTTCGGCGCAGTCTGTCCCCGCCCCCACGTCAAAGGTTAAGGGCAAGAAGGCCAAGTCTTCCGCCCCGGTTCCTTCCACCTCCACTGCGCCCTTATCGCAGTCCGGGGATGAGGGCTCCCGGGTCCCCGAGGTTCCCCCCTCCCCTGCACCTATTAACCCTGCCGATATTTCGGCGCTTCTGCGGTCGCAGATGGCGTCGATGTTCGAGGATGTCAAGTCCCAGCTCCAATGGGAGCTGCTGGCGGGGCTTCCCCTGGCGTCTGGGGCCTCGTGGAATGCCTGGCGTTGGCTTTGGCAGGCCACTTGGCCTCGGGGACGACTCGCGTCTGAGCTTCGGCCCCAGTTCGCGGTCGATCCCCAGCGGATCCCCATGCTTGGCGGAGGATGGCCATGACGATCAGTCATGCCCCATCTGTGGAAATTTTACTCCCAAAGCACGAAAGAGGCGTCATGCAGGCGGGGGTTGACATACGTACGACTTCTGTCCCCCCCCCCCCCCTGTTATATGCTAAGGGCAAGAAGGCCAAATCTTCCGCCCCGGTTGCTTCCCCCTCCACTGCGCCCTTATCGCAGACAGGGGGCGAGAGCTCTCGGGGTTCCCCCCTCCCCTGCACCACCAATTAACCTTGCCAATATTTCGGCGTTCTGCGGTTGCAGATGGCATCGATGTTTGAGGCTGTCAAGTCCCAGCTCCGAGAGGAGCTGCGGGCGTGGCTTCTCCGGGTGTCGGTGTCCGGGCGGATGAGGCCGTGGGGCCTAGTGGAATGCCCGGCGTTGGCAGGACACTGCACTACAAGAGACTTCTTGAGGCAGGGGCAGACATTAGGGATAAGTCAGTCCCCCCCCCCCCCCCCCCTTCCAAAAGTAAAGGGGGTAAGGGTAGGGGAAATAAAGGTAAAGGTCCAGCTTCCTCGGGCTCCAGCAATAAGGAGCCTAGGACGTCTGGGGATCAGTCTAGTAGGGTTCCCGTACAACAATTACCTACACCTGCACCTTCTGTTAATCTGGCGGCTATTTCTGCCATCTTGAGGTTGCAGATGACATCCATGTTCGAGGAGGTCAAGTCTCAGCTCCGCGAGGAGTTGCGGGCGGGGCTTCACGAATATCGGGTGTCGGAAGCGGCCTCGGGGCCTTTTGGAATGCTTGGCACTTGGCCTCAGGGACGACTCGAGACCGGGCTTAGGCTCGGGATCGAGATCGCTCTCCTGCGAAGGGGTGGCGGGCGCCGGCCCATTCACTTCCTCCTGCACCTCGGGACCGGGATTCGGCTTCGGGCCGGGGACAGCTTCGAGTGTCCGCTCCCGATACCGTCTACTTCCTCCCTGGTTGAGGAGTCAGAGTTAACCTTCGGCTCGGAGACTAGGGATGAGGAGTCGATGGAGGAGGGAGAGGAAGGCTCGGAGACCCCTGCAGGTTTTTCTTTCGCTTCCTCTCTGCGACACGTACGGGACAAAATAGTCCAGGTACTGCCGCAGGTGGCTGCCCCCGCTCCCGAGTCGGACTCGTCTGAGTTCCGCCTTCCGGGGGACGCGTTTGCTCTTTGCAAGCCGCCCCAGGTGCGACTTCGTATTCTGTCATCGTTGGCGCACGAGGTCATCGATCCTCTGTTATCGTGTAACCGGAAAAAGTTCGACCTACCCGAACTGAGTAAACGGTACCCTATGGCAGAGGACTGGGATTTCGAGGTGCCTTCGGTCGACGAATGCGTCTGGACCTCGGTGACCCTGGGGGGGTCTTCGACCCCCTCTTTGACTAAGGCCAAGCAGGGCCGGCGATTGCCTCCCTTCCCAATCTGTGGCACCGAGCTGAAGGTGGCTTACGTCTGCTTCGAGGAGCAGTTTCGTAATGCCGGCCAACAGCTTCGGATTACGGTCCACTCAGCGTACCTGTCTGCCGTGCAAAGGGAGCTGATAGGGGAGGGCCAGAGCGACTCATCAGAGTTAGCCAGGCAACTCACTGAGGTACATAGTCATTTGGCGAGGGACGCTATACGTAGTTGTGCCTCCCAAATGATGTGCGCAATCATTGGCATGCGCAGGCTATGGATGTCTGTGTCTAAGTATTCAGCATCCAGCATTCAGTTGAAGGCTCATTCGGTTAGAGCAGTAGCTACGTCTAAAGCGTACGCCGCGGCTCTGCCCATTGAGGAGATCTGCTCAGCGGCTATTTGGAGCCGGCCGAGCACGTTCATCAAGCATTACCAACTCGACAAACACTCTAAGGAGCGTGCTCGGTTCGGTCAAGCAGTACTCCGCACTGGACAGAGCTCTACGTCTCTAGCCGATTGAGCCTTCGTGATCGTACAGTTCTGTCATATATTAGTTTGACTCAACGACGCCTGTTTATATATTAAACTGGCCATCTATTACGTCATCTTTCAACGATCTACACTCGTTTCTAAAAACACTCGTTCGATACTACGGGGGCCCTCTAGCCTGACTAAGGGATTCGCTATAGTTTTCGAAAATTCACTGGTATACGGTGAAAAAAAGGGTGTGTGTGTGTATTTGAGTTTTCAATATTTACTAAAGTATAATTATCAACTTTGGTTACGACCACGCCCTGTCTTCAGCCCCCGCCTCTCAACGGTAGAGCTATACGATAAGGTTGGTTTTTAAAAAAATAAAGGAACTCTCTTATTAAAACGATGTGTTATTTACGCTTGTTGCAGACGGATGCTGCTACCTAAGTAATCTTTGGGAGTCTGTCTTTATGCAATAAAAGCCCCAAGGAGGATTTAATCAGAAAGAGAATTTTACAAACCTGAATAGGTTATGAATTCTCTGATGAAATCCTCCTTGGGGCACGGCCACCCACCGCCCCACATAATGTCTGCAAGAAGACATATGGAAAGTGAATTGGGTGTGAGTTGCTTCCCTTGGCGTTTGGCGCCAAAGTAGGGAGAGGCCCAGTTTGGGTGGTCGTACATCATACACAAAAAAACGTTGTTTTTTAGTGTGGTTATATTTTATTAGGAACAAAATAGTTACAACATGTCATGTAGATTTTCTGTAGCCTTTAAAATGCAATAAGTGCCCCAAGGAGGATTTCATCAGAGAATTCATAACCTCTTCAGGTTTGTAAAAATAATCTCATACCAACTTTCACTGGAGTAGGTCCAATAGTTTTTCAAATATTGTAGTAAACTTCGGTACCTTAAATTAACTTCCAGACTATACGTGTTGATGAGAAGCCAGTGAGGGATCAAGGGCAGATAACACTGATTTGTATCCTATGGCCAGAGGCGCCCAAGATGTAGAAGAGGCACATTTAAGGATCTATGTACTATGATCGAAATGAAGAAGGAAATTTGAATGTGTTGTGTCAGAATAAGTATACTAATATCATGAATATCCAAATGAATGTAAAATTCAGTCCTTTAGAATGAGTAAGTTTGACTTGTATTTCAGGCAGAGTTCCGCGAGTACCCCCCTGTTTTGAGGCACGCAGTGTCAGTTGCACGCCGACTTCAAGATCCTCTTGTGGAGTTTGCCCAGCTGTGTAATGCAGACGAGGACATCCTCTGCTTGAAGTATCACCCACAACAGGTTTGTGTGCATTATATCTACACACAAGAGCATTATCATAACTACTTCATCTACTTGGCCACCCATTCTATAACCATTGATTATGCAGCAGAATCTGTTTCCGTGAGTTGACAGATTTCCTGATAAAGGTGTGGACGGGAGGCAGGTGGAAGTGAAACATGGCTTGTTTATTCAAGAACCAGACTTATCCATGCTTGGCCAGATACAGAATGTTAAACCATATTTCGAATATTATGAGTCCAACTGTTTCTGGGAAAGTGTTATTCTTCTGCAGGATTCTGTATCAAAAGAAGATCTTCTGAATTCTCTGTACCTGGAGTTTGTCAACAGAGTGAATGAAGTGGGTGTGGATGTGAATGAGGCCATCACTCACGCGCACACATCATCTTTAGTACAGTTCATCTGCGGACTTGGTCCAAGGAAGGGCAGTAATCTCCTCAAGGTATGTTTTACATGAATGTTTTTTGCTACGTGAGCATGATGAGGCATGCTGAAGGCGAGGGGTATACAGTTTGTGTCTTGTCTAGGTTCTGAAGCAGAACAACCAGAGGCTGGAGAACCGCACCCAGCTTGTGTCCCTGTGCAGCATGGGACCGAAGGTCTTCATCAACTGTGCTGGCTTCATTAAGATTGACACGAACAGCCTAGGAGACAGGTAATTTTTAAAAGCTGGATGGTAATTAGTGTTAGTTGTCAGTTTTCTACAGAGTTTTCTTAAATGAATGTGAGTGTGTACTGCTATTTACTTGGTAAAGAGATATTTTTAATGAGATCTACAATCTGCCTATATTAGTATTGAACTTTATCTTTCTCACAAACAATGTACACTTAATAATTTAGTCAACAGTTTTTAAGGTAAAAATGTATGAATATTAATCTTGACATTTTGTATGTCTTTCTTTGGGAAACATGCAGTCAAAAATAATATGAGTTATTATAATTTATATTAATTTATAATTTATAATTTATATATTTTCTAGTCCCAGGTTGACTATGGTTGCTTCTGTTTAGTACTGACAACTATGTGGATGTACTGGATGCATCTCGAGTTCATCCAGAGGCATACGAGTGGGCACGGAAGATGGCAGTAGATGCCCTGGAGTATGATGACACGGCTGAGGATGCCAACCCAGCTGGTGCCCTAGAGGAGATCCTGGAGAGCCCCGAGAGACTCAAGGACTTGGATCTGGATGCTTTTGCTGAAGAGTTGGAGAGACAGGTCAGTGGCTAGCATTGAGGTAGAAGGGAGACAGGATATTGGGGGAAGTGGTTAGTTCTGTGGTGTGGTAAAGAGAGGGACAGTGGATAGTTCTGTCGTGTGCTGGAGAGAGGGGTATTGGATAGTTGGATAGACTGCCCCCTCTCTCTCTCAGCACACCACAGACTGCCCCCTCTCTCCAGCACACCACAGACTGCCCCCTCTCAGTGGTGTGCTAGAGAGAGGAGGCAGTCTGTGGTGTGCTAGAGAGAGGAGGCAGTCTGTGGTGTGCTAGAGAGAGGAGGCAGTCTGTGGTGTGCTAGAGAGAGGAGGCAGTCTGTGGTGTGCTAGAGAGAGGAGGCAGTCTGTGGTGTGCTAGAGAAAGGAGGCAGTCTGTGGTGTGCTAGAGAGAGGAGGCAGTCTGTGGTGTGCTAGAGAGAGGAGGCAGTCTGTGGTGTGCTAGAGAGAGGAGGCAGTCTGTGGTGTGCTAGAGAGAGGAGGCAGTCTGTGGTGTGCTAGAGAAAGGAGGCAGTCTGTGGTGTGCTAGAGAGAGGAGGCAGTCTGTGGTGTGCTAGAGAAAGGAGGCAGTCTGTGATGTGCTAGAGAGAGGAGGCAGTCTGTGGTTTGCTAGAGAGAGGAGGCAGTCTGTGGTGTGCTAGAGAAAGGAGGCAGTCTGTGGTGTGCTAGAGAGAGGAGGCAGTCTGTGGTGTGCTAGAGAGAGGAGGCAGTCTGTGGTGTGCTAGAGAGAGGAGGCAGTCTGTGGTGTGCTAGAGAAAGGAGGCAGTCTGTGGTGTGCTAGAGAAAGGAGGCAGTCTGTGGTGTGCTAGAGAGAGGAGGCAGTCTGTGTTGTGCTAGAGAGAGGAGGCAGTCTGTGATGTGCTAGAGAGAGGAGGCAGTCTGTGGTGTGCTAGAGAAAGGAGGCAGTCTGTGGTGTGCTAGAGAGAGGAGGCAGTCTGTGGTGTGCTAGAGAGAGGAGGCAGTCTGTGGTGTGCTAGAGAGAGGAGGCAGTCTGTGGTGTGCTAGAGAAAGGAGGCAGTCTGTGGTGTGCTAGAGAGAGGAGGCAGTCTGTGGTGTGCTAGAGAGAGGAGGCAGTCTGTGGTGTGCTAGAGAGAGGAGGCAGTCTGTGGTGTGCTAGAGAGAGAAGGCAGTGGTTAGTTCTGCGACAGGGTAGAGAGAGAAGGCAGTGGTTAGTTCTGTGACTAGATAGAGAGAGAAGGCAGTGGTTAGTTCTGTGACAGGATAGAGAGAGGGGGCAGTGGTTAGTTCTGTGACAGGTAGAGAGAGAAGGCAGTGGTTATTTTTGGGACAGGATAGAGAGAGACGGCAGTGGTTAGTTTTGTGACAGGTAGAGCGAGGGAGCAGTGGTTTGTTCTGTGAAAGGAAAGAGAGAGGGAACAGTGGTTAGTTCTGTGAGATAGATAGAGAGAGAAGGCAGTGGTTAGTTCTGTGACAGGATAGAGAGAGGGGGCAGTGGTTAGTTCTGTGACTAGATAGAGAGAGAAGACAGTGGTTAGTTATGTGACAGGTAGAGAGAGAAGGCAGTGGTTAGTTCTCTGACAGTATAGAGAGAGAAGGCAGTGGTTAGTTCTGTGACAGGAAAGAGAGAGAAGGCAGTGGTTAGTTTTGTGACAGGTAGAGAGGGAGCAGTGGTTTGTTCTGTGACAGGATAGAGAGAAGGCAGCAGTTGATTATGTGACAGGATAGACAGGTGGCAGTTGTTTGTTCTGTGACAGGTAGAGAGAGAAGGCAGTGGTTAGTTTTGTGAGAGGATAGAGAGAGGAGGCAGTGGTTAGTTTTGTGAGAGGATAGAGAGAGAAGGCAGTGGTTAGTTTTTTGAGAGGATAGAGAGAGAAGGCAGTGGTTAGTTTTTTGAGAGGATAGAGAGAGGGAACAGTGGTTTGTTCTGTGACTAGATAAGAGAGAGGGGGCAGTGGTTAGTTCTGTGACAGGTAGAGAGAGAAGGCAGTGGTTAGTTTTGGGACATGATAGAGAGAGAAGGCAGTGGTTAGTTATCTGACAGGATAGAGAGAGAAGGCAGTGGTTAGTTCTGTGACAGGAAAGAGAGGTGGCAGTGGTTTTTTCTGTGACAGGATAGAGAGAGAAGGCAGTGGTTAGTTTTGTGAGAGGATAGAGAGAGAAGGCAGTGGTTAGTTCTGTGACAGGATAGAGAGAGAAGGCAGTGGTTAGTTCTGTGACTACATAGACGGGGCAGTGGTTAGTTTTGGGACAGGATAGAGAGAGAAGGCAGTGGTTAGTTTTGGGACAGGATAGAGAGAGAAGGCAGTGGTTAGTTCTGTGACAGGATAGAGAAGGCAGTGGTTAGTTCTGTGTCTAGATAGAGAGAGAAGGCAGTGGTTAGTTCTGTGACTAGATAGAGAGAGAAGGCAGTGGTTAGTTCTATGTCTAGATAGAGGGAGAAGGCAGTGGTTAGTTCTGTGACTAGATAGAGAGAGAAGGCAGTGGTTAGTTCTATGACAGGAAAGAGAGAGAAGGCAGTGGTTAGTTCTGTGACAGGATAGAAAGAGGGGGCAGTGGTTAGTTCTGTGACAGGTAGAGAGAGAAGGCAGTGGTTATTTTTGGGACAGGATAGAGAGAGAAGGCAGTGGTTAGTTTTGTGACAGGTAGAGAGAGGGAGCAGTGGTTTGTTCTGTGACAGGATAGAGAGAAGGCAGCAGTTGATTATGTGACAGGATAGACAAGTGGCAGTTGTTTGTTCTGTGACAGGTAGAGAGAGAAGGCAGTGGTTAGTTTTGTGAGAGGATAGAGAGAGAAGGAAGTGGTTAGTTCTGTGACAGGGTAGAGAGAGAAGGCAGTGGTTAGTTCTGTGACTAGATAGAGAGAGAAGGCAGTTGTTAGTTCTGTGACTAGATAGAGAGAGAAGGCAATGGTTAGTTTTGTGACTAGATAGAGAGAGAAGGCAGTGGTTAGTTTTGTGACTAGATAGAGAGAGAAGGCAGTGGTTAGTTTTGTGAGAGGATAGAGAGAGAAGGAAGTGGTTAGTTCTGTGACAGTATAGAGAGAGAAGGCAGTGGTTAGTTCTGTGACAGGAAAGAGAGAGAAGGCAGTGGTTAGTTTTGTGACAGGTAGAGAGGGAGCAGTGGTTTGTTCTGTGACAGGATAGAGAGAAGGCAGCGGTTGATTATGTGACAGGATAGACAGGTGGCAGTTGTTTGTTCTGTGACAGGTAGAGAGAGAAGCCAGTGGTTAGTTTTGTGAGAGGATAGAGAGAGAAGGCAGTGGTCAGCCGTATGGTAGGTTGTGGAGAAGCATTGCAAAAGATAGTTGTTGTGGTAGCATGTAGGCCTGTGAACAGCACTCAGGTCACAATTCAGGATTGAGTTAACTTAGTTTTAGCTGACATTGGTTGCGGAGAGTAGCAGGATGGGTAATAGTTTCGAGGGTTTCCGTTTTGCCCCACACTGAACCATATGTGGTGTCTCCTGAAGCAAGTAACTTTTTTCTAAATATGCACCAGCAGGGAATGGGTACCCAGTAGGATATGATGGCAGTGTGACTGTGAACCTTCTTGCACCTCATACACCCCAGGGAGCTGCGAATGAAATTCAAGTGCACATTGATCCATTCAATGAGTAATAATGATGTAGCACTATCAGCATTCACGTGTTGAATGGAATTTGTCCTATTATTAAAGCAGCTTTTTATGATATGCTTTATCAGGTGTATCTATTGCTGACGTCAAATGTTGATGTGAAAGTTTTAGGAAACACAGATTCTTATTTTGCTACCAGGGTTATGGTGACAAACACATTACACTGTATGACATCCGAGCGGAATTGAATCAACGCTACAAGGACCTGCGAACTCCATACAGATCACCCACAAATGAAGAGAGATTCAACATGATCACTAAAGAAACACCAGAAACATTCTATGTTGGTAAGCAGATATTGTAAGCTTTAGTAAGTGATAGTCATGAGCATTCAGTTGAAACCGTTGGATTGATATAATAAGATGAAAACATCCAGTACTAATCTTGAGGATGTGGAGTCAGTAATTTGTTCTACTGCATCAACAATTTTGGTATGTGTGTCAGGTAAACTGGTGATGTGCACAGTGACGGGGATTGCCCATAAGCGCCCACAAGGTGACCAGTTGGATCAGGCCAACCCTGTCAGGAATGACGAGTCAGGACTATGGCAGTGCCCATTCTGTCAGAAGGATGACTTCCCAGAATTGAGTGAGGTACCACATAGATATATAATAATCACTATACTCAATCAGTTGTGTTATCAATAATTAGGTGTCCAACATGTGGCTTAACCAAAATTCTTAAGCTCTGTGATGGTAAAATATGAATAGCTGAGCTGGCCCAAAGTGTATGGTGTCCTGGTACTGGTTGTTGTCTGTGTGCATACACTGAGCTCGTCACCTGGCAGGTTTGGAGTCACTTTGATGCTGGGAACTGTCCAGGGGCGGCAGTTGGTGTGAAGACTCGCTTGGACAACTCTGTGACAGGCTTCATCCCTACAAAGATGATCAGTGACAAGCAAGTGAAAAACCCAGAGGAGAGAGTACAGGTAAGGCTAGCAGGGTTATCTAGAGGAACTCTGTGGATCAGCTAACATTAGCATTCATCCTGGTTGAGGGTAATTAGATGACCATGGGATGTAATAATGTTACACCTGACCCTAACTACTGTGGATTGGTGGACACCTTGATGCTGTCACTGCACTGACTGTCCTCCTACTTAGAATATAACAGATCATGTTGCATTATAAATGTGAACAGTCAATATGTATTATCCAAATGTACCACGTTAGCTAAATGAGACAGATGCTAGTACCTTTATCAAGCTTGATAAAGCATCTGAACCAAAACATCAGATTGAAAGAATATAGGAGTTGAAAAGTCAACTGTCTTCGTTGATACTACAGTTTCTAAAATGCCACTTAAAGAATAAGGTGAGCTAAACTATAATTGGGCTATTGACATGAAATATCAGGCTTCGCCGTTCAGCAAACCTGGTGACAGAAAATAACACATTCTACAAAGACCTTTTTTCAAGATGTTCACTTTAACAAATATTGATTTATTTTTATCGTGTCATACATATTTAGTATAATAGCCAGTCAGTTTGGTCAAGTCTTAGTTGGTCTGGTCATGTGACAGGTTAAAACTGATATGAAACTTGCTGATTGATGTCCTCTGTTCAATCAAAATAAAAAACTTGCCTGCTTTTTGTGAGCTTGAAAATGGAAACTTGTAGAAGACTACACCAACCAGTAATCTCTCCTGCACAGGACATGAGGAGCTGGCAGTCATTCCAAGCAGATTGTAGAAGACTGGTAATGAGGTTTCCCTGCAAGTTGCTCTACATCGTTTCAATAGTCAGGATAGAAAATATGATGCAGAAATAAATCAAAGTTCCACACTGTCTGATTTGGGGGAGGTACACATTAGTGCAGTTTCATTTCAAGAAATGCTTGTCAATTACCCAATTGTGAATTATTTTACAAAATACTTTGATCACCATATCAAAACAAAGATGCATGACCAAATAGTTGTGATTGTGTTGTAGGTTGGGATGACAATACACACTCGTATCACAAAGATTGACATCGACAGGTTCCAGGTGGACATGACCTGCAAGTCCTCAGATCTTCACGACAAGGAAGGCACTTGGAAGTTAGTAAACATCTTCTTGTGATTAAATCTTAGAAAATGACTGAGATTAAGATAACTAGGAAAGTAATGTAATCCTGCACAGGTGTTAGCAGTGTGTTGTATCTTGTAGACCTCAGCGGGATGTGTACTACGACTGCGATGTGGAGAAGAAGGACATTGAGAAGGAGCAGGAGAAGAAGAAACAACAGGCCAGACAGAGTGAGTAAAACAGGCATGGAGTAACAGTTGCTGACTTGCTGTTATGTATGTCATGGAGTGACTAGCTGCCATGTTGTGTGTCATGAGTTCCTAGCTGTCATGTTGTGTGTCATGGAGTGACTAGCTGTCATGTTGTGTGTCATGAGTGCCTAGCTGTCATGTTGTGTGTCATGGAGTGACTAGCTGCCATGTTGTGTGTCATGAGTGCCTAGCTGTCATGTTGTGTGTCATGGAGTGACTAGCTGTCATGTTGTGTGTCATGGAGTGACTAGCTGTCATGTTGTGTGTAATGGAGTGACTAGCTGCCATGTTGTAATGTCATGGAGTGACTAGCTATCATGTCGTGTGTCATGGAGTGACTAGCTGCCATGTTGTAATGTCATGGAGTGACTAGCTATCATGTCGTGTGTCATGGAGTGACTAGCTGTCATGTTGTATGTCATGGAGTGACTAACTGTCATGTTGTGTGTCATGGAGTGACTAGGTGTCATTGAGTGACTAGCTGCCATGTCGTGTGTCATGGAGTGACTAGCTGTCATGTTGTGTGTCATGGAGTGACTAGCTGTCATGTTGTGTGTCATGGAGTGACTAGGTGTCATGTTGTGTGTCATGGAGTGACTAGCTGTCATGTTGTGTGTCATGGAGTGACTAGCTGTCATGTTGTGTGTCATGGAGTGACTAGCTGTCATGTTGTGTGTCATGGAGTGACTAGGTGTCATTGAGTGCCTAGCTGTCATGTTGTGTGTCATGGGGTGTGTCTTGGAGTGACTAGCTGTCATGTTGTGTGTCATGGAGTGACTAGCTGTCATGTGTGTCTTGGAGTGACTAGCTGTCATGTTGTGTGTCTTGGAGTGACTAGCTGTCACGTTGTGTGTCATGGAATGACTAGCTGTCATGTTGTGTGTCATGGAGTGACTAGCTGTCATGTAGTGTGTCATGGAGTGACTAGGTGTCATTGAGTGACTAGCTGCCATGTTGTGTGTCATTGAGTGACTAGCTGTCATGTTGTGTGTCATGGAGTGACTAGCTGTCATGTTGTGTGTCTTGGAGTGACTAGGTGTCATGTTGTGTGTCATGGAGTGACTAGCTGTCATGTTGTGTGTCATGGAGTGACTAGCTGCCATGTTGTAATGTCATGGAGTGACTAGCTGTCATGTTGTGTGTCATGGAGTGACTAGCTGTCATGTTGTGTGTCTTGGAGTGACTAGCTGTCACGTTGTGTGTCATGGAGTGACTAGCTGTCACGTTGTGTGTCATGGAGTGACTAGCTGTCATGTTGTGTGTCATGGAGTGACTAGCTGTCATGTTGTGTCATGGAGTGACTAGCTGTCATGTAGTTTGTCATGAAATGACAGTTACTGATTAGCTCATGTGTATCATGTCACCTTTGTTATTTTCATACAGTTGGTAAAGAATTGCTGAAGTCTTATGTCCAGATTCTTTAGATATTTGTTTTCTGACTGTTCATGTATTGTGTGTTGCCTTTCAGCCTACATAAAGCGTGTGATAGTTCACCCATCTTTCCACAATATTGGGTACAAGGAGTGTGAGAAGCTGATGGTCAACATGGACCAAGGGGATGTCATCATCAGGCCAAGCAGCAAGGTATGCATGCACATTCACTGCTGGTAGTTTCATCAAGTTATTAATTAAAACAAGAATTAACTGTATGAATTCACTTTTGTTGTCATTGGGAAATCTCTAAAAACTGATGAGCTGAACACGTGACACGTCTACTCTTGTCAATAGAGGTAACTAAGGGAAATCTGCTGGTCTGTTAACTTGAAAATGGAAAGATCAGGCATGTCCAGAGAGCCAGATAAATCCAGATTTCATGCTGCATCATAGGGGTATCCATTATTGTTTATTGATAATGTAAAATATCCAACAGTAATTCTCCCTTACTATTCTATTGTCTAATTGATGACAATGTGCATCTGGTGACATGACCCTAATCATTGCATGTATGTGGCTAGGGAGCCAACCACTTGACTTGCACGTGGAAGGTTGCAGACGACATCATGCAACACATTGACATTCGTGAGGAGGGCAAGGAGAATGACTTCAGCTTGGGGCGCTCACTGTGGATAGCACAGGAGGTGAGTGGAAACACTACACTCTTTCAATGCATATTCTACAACAGTTATGGCCACACATTATCTGTACAATATCCCAAACTTAAGTCCTTTAGAGATACAACTGCTTTTTTCAGTGACGGAAAATGTTTAGCTGGTGATGGAGATTAACTGTGATCTTGTGTTTCTACTGATGTCCTTGGATACTTGACCTAAAGGAAAAACCAATAAAAAGCTTGAATTTCAGTGGATGATATGCCAGAATTTGTAGGTATTACCATTATGAGTACCCTTGGGGATTTGGCTGGTGATGCACTGCTTGTCGGGTACAGCGATATCAATTATATAAATCATTGCATGAATAGGAATTTGAGGATCTGGATGAAATCATTGCAAGACATATTCAACCTATGGCAGCATATGTGCGAGATATTGTGGGCTTCAAGTACTACCGTGATGCTGAAGGTGGCAAGCGAGAGATCCTTGACAAGTTACTTATTGAAGAGAAGAAAAAGGCTCCATCCAGGTGAATCCCTGTATTCTTATGTTCACTCTAACAGTGTTGAGTAAGACTCAAGTGTCCAAGTGGGCTTATGGTAATTCATGTTGTTCTTTGTCAGTCAGTGTTCTCGATTGTTTAATGACAGATTCTCATCATATTCCGCCAGAAACCATAATGGCAGTTTTTTGTTTTCTTGGTGTTCATTTGACTGTTCTCAACTTGTTCATATTTACATATCTGCTTCAACTATAAGACATATGGAGCTGAAACTTAGCATGAATCATCTCAGCTATGGTGTTTCTAAAATCGTCTCACGGAATTCTGATCCAATTTTAAACAGGTGTAAAATTTTCACTTTTGGCCTTTACTTTAACATGCAGCAAGTATTTGGTGTGGGGAATAACATATCATTTTTATTTTGGCATAGTTAGATTGTTTATCCAGCTATGACATTCTGCAAGTATCATAAAATATTTGATATACAGTAATTATGTGGTATAACAATAACTCATGTTATAGTTTGCTCTGTATTGTGATCTTTAACACGAGCCAAAGGTCAAGGTCAGTGTTGAGGTTGTTGTGAGACATTGTAATGTGAATTTCTTATTAAGATCCTAGGGGCGGTCGGGTAGCCTAGTGGTTAAAGCGTTGGCTTGTCACGCCGAAGACCCGGGTTTGATTCCCGACATGGGTACAATGTGTGAAGCCCAGATCTGGTGTCCCCTGCCGTGATATTCCTGGAATATTGCTAAAAGCGGCATAAAACCATACTCACTCTCACTATTAAGATCCTAACAATTAGAAGTCGGTAACTGGCAATTAATACAACCATGCATCACAATAACCTCAAAGATGACCTTGACCTCTGATGGGGGCCCACCCATATGTGTACCATGCACATCTAAAAGCTTCACGGCTGTAGAGGAAACCATGCCTCAGAACGTGACAATGACATTATGGAAGTATTGGTTTTGGACTGGAAGTACATGGTGGTATTTCATGACTTTAGAAGCTTTGAAGAAATGGCGGTTGAGGGGTGTTTTTGATGGTACATGCCAACACGTCTAGTTAAATAACATTTTTGAGTTTTTGTCTCATCTACTGATCAGTAAAATAAACAAGAAAAAGAATGCCTAACCTAGGCAATTAAAATTTCATGCAGAGAAATATCAATGCAGAGAAGTTATTTGTCAGATCTTATAAGCATCAGGTAATGGTGAAATTTCTTTCCTGTTTTTGTATTTCATTCTGCTCATTGTTACTTGTTTTGTTTGGTAGAATTCCGTACTACTTCAGTGTGTCGAAGCAGTACCCTGGTAAGTTCCTGCTGTCCTACCTTCCCAGGACCAAACCCCGTCATGAGTACTTCTCAGTGACAGCAGAGGGTCTCAAGTACCGCACACAAATATTCCATTCCATCAACTCTCTCATCCGCTGGTTCAAGGAACACTTCAGAGACCCCATTCCAGGTGAGAGCCCATGCCTCTTCCAGCACATGGTCTGACTGATTCAGTTTACTTACAGATTACAGATCTATACACAGACGGCCATTTCATGTGGTGCACCACATACTGTACTGGAGAATTAAAACAAAACGAACTGATCTGTGACAATGATAGTTTACACATCATGTACAACATGGTGCCGTTGTACAAAACAACGTAAGTCTCTGTTTGGGATGGGAGTTACGATCACCTTAGCGTTAAGATAGCTTTGTACAATGGTATTAGGGATGGGTATTGGAGGTTGAAGGTGAATCACAAGATTTTATGATGAACAAGGTGGTATTGTGATATGAATCATGATATATTGTATAATTCTAAATTTTGAATTCAGAACATTTTGAAACACCAAGTGTATGAAATGAAGTTCATAAATGGAACAAAACAAGATGCTGGTACATCTACTCATTCAACAAAAACGCATGCTCCGGTTATTTGGCAAGTGTTTAACTTTAAACACGTGATACAATTCATTATTTGAATTCACCCAATAAACTGAACATTAAGAAATGATATTGTGAAGCATATCAAGGAAAGAATGAACCTCAGTTTACTGATGTACAACACATCCTTAGTCAGTTTACATGACGTTTAGCCTTTACATTATGCCTTGTGTGTTGTTGCAGGCACCCCAGCCAGTTCACGCACCCCGATGGTGTCTTCAGCCTACCCTACGCCCAGCATCAACCTTCAGAGTGAGTAGTTCTTCCTTGTTAATTATGACCAACAATGCTGTAGACATGAATATTTTGATAATGTTGCAAAATTCAGTGAACTGCTCATCCAGCATATCCTTCCTCTTTCAGATGTGGATCCCGCCACTATCCAGCGAGCAGCAGCTGTCCTCCCCAACAACATCTACAACACACTGGCACAGGTAGCCAATGCTACACCGCAACAATTTGGGGCAAACCGCAACTTCGCCGGTGCATACAGTGGTGGATTTGGTTACCAGGTAAGTTGTTGTTATACCAATGCAGAGTGTATATATATAAAAATCTACTACTAAATTTCTGGGACTGTAAAATGGAAATAAACTGATCTCAGACAATCCCACAATTGATATCATTAACATTATTGAATAGAACTCTCAATTGGTATAAAACATAAGGACAATGTTATGAAATTGAAATGTTACTTTAATCTTTGAAGGTGGAAATTGTATTTATTTTTGTTAATGACAAAAAAAGAAAGAAAAGATGATTTTTTCTTAGTGGAAAAAAAGAAGACTTTGAATGAAAATGAATAATGATCTGTGTATGTTCCAGCAACCAACACCGCTGGGCATGACTCCACTTGTAACCCCCTCCTACCATGGCCAGATAGCCACTACTCCAGGAGGGCAGCCCATCAACACACCTTCCTACAACCCTACACCACGCACTGCCTGGCCACCCACTACACCCAGGACTCCTGCACGTACACCCCAACACAGAACCACACCCGGCCAGACAACGCAGCGGATGACGCCACGGCCCACACCCTCCACCCCTGCTGCCACTGATTGGGCCAAGGCAGCCGAGATGTGGGCAAAGAGGAAGCAGGATTCCCGCAAGCCGACAACACCTCGCTCTCATAGTTCTCCCCGTGTGCGACCCTCACCTAGTCCCATGCTGGACAGTAGTCCAGATGGCGGAGATGCCACTCCCCTCATCGATGAGCGCTGAACACCAAGAAAATGACAGGAGCAGTGCTTTTGTTCTGCCAGCTTGAGAGATCATCTCTCAGCTGGAAGTGGATATGACCAGGTGCCTCATCTACAGCAAGTGAACATCCAGGTGGTGTCTTGCCTCAGCATGTGTATGTAGAAGCTGTTGGGAAGAGTGTGTGCCTGGTCCTGTACATACAGCGGACAGCTCCCAAGTGCTGCTTATATGTTGACTATTGCTGGATACCATCATACATTACAAATGGTGGGCTGCTAAGGGGCAAGGAAGGTCTTCATCCTTTTGTTCAGAGTAAGATGTATGTAATGTGTAGATTGGTTGAATCTGTACAAATATACTTACAATAATGGAACAAGCCAAAACATGTCAATTGCATTGTCATGTTTTATGTGTCACAGGATGTCTTCATTTGTATTTATTGATTTGATACTTTTTCCTAATGTATTAATGATCTTACAGGTATTTCTCTGGGGGAGAATCATGAAACAGTTTGATACAGTGTGGCAGAGATGTTTGCCTGTGTAAATAAACACAGCTGTAAGTGAATCATGTCTCCTCTACATTTTAAAAGCATTTGTTGTACAAGATTATATAACATTGAGGTATTGCTGATATGTGCATGTATAACAAAGGGAGCATGCCTGGCACCAGAGAAGGTATGCACATTATTTGTAGGGGAACTTTCTAGTTCAGTTTGGGACTTTTGAAAAGGACAACATTTCCTGTGACCTATGACAGAATCATTTGACATACTTGCCTGTGTTTCTCATTTCTGATGCTCCATTTGTCATTGAGGACAGTTACATTGTATAAAGCATATCTTTACACAGAAATAAAATCTTCTCAACAGTGCAATCTTTCTTACTTTGTTTTACTCAGATCATTGTCACCAGACTGGAAGTTTGATTACCAGGTACTGTTGGAACATGAATCAGGGCCTGGCAGTCTCAATGTGTCATCACACCCAGAATGAGTGCCTGGCTGTCTCAATGTGTCCTCACACCCAGAATCAGGGCCTGGCAGTCTCAATGTGTCATCACACCCAGAATCAGGGCCTGGCTGTCTCAATGTGTCATCACACCCAGAATCAGGGCCTGGCTGTCTCAATGTGTCATCACACCCAGAATCAGGGCCTGGCAGTCTCAATGTGTCCTCACACCCAGAATGAGGGCCTGGCTGTCTCAATGTGTCATCACACCCAGAATCAGGGCCTGGCAGTCTCAATGTGTCATCACACCCAGAATGAGTGCCTGGCTGTCTCAATGTGTCCTCACACCCAGAATGAGGGCCTGTCTGTCTCAATGTGTCATCACACCCAGAATGAGGGCCTGGCTGTCTCAATGTGTCCTCACACCCAGAATGAGGGCCTGGCAGTCTCAATGTGTCCTCACACCCAGAATGAGGGCCTGGCTGTCTCAATGTGTCATCACACCCAGAATCAGGGCCTGGCAGTCTCAATGTGTCCTCACACCCAGAATGAGGGCCTGGCTGTCTCAATGTGTCCTCACACCCAGAATGAGTGCCTGGCTGTCTCAATGTGTCCTCACACCCAGAATGAGGGCCTGGCTGTCTCAATGTGTCATCACACCCAGAATCAGGGCCTGGCAGTCTCAATGTGTCATCACACCCAGAATGAGGGCCTGGCTGTCTCAATGTGTCATCACACCCAGAATGAGGGCCTGGCTGTCTCAATGTGTCCTCACACCCAGAATGAGGGCCTGGCTGTCTCAATGTGTCATCACACCCAGAATGAGGGCCTGGCAGTCTCAATGTGTCCTCACACCCAGAATCAGGGCCTGGCTGTCTCAATGTGTCCTCACACCCAGAATGAGGGCCTGGCTGTCTCAATGTGTCATCACACCCAGAATGAGGGCCTGGCTGTCTCAATGTGTCATCACACCCAGAATGAGGGCCTGGCAGTCTCAATGTGTCATCACACCCAGAATGAGTGCCTGGCTGTCTCAATGTGTCCTCACACCCAGAATGAGGGCCTGGCAGTCTCAATGTGTCCTCACACCCAGAATGAGGGCCTGGCTGTCTCAATGTGTCATCACACCCAGAATGAGTGCCTGGCTGTCTCAATGTGTCCTCACACCCAGAATGAGGGCCTGGCTGTCTCAATGTGTCCTCACACCCAGAATGAGGGCCTGGCTGTCTCAATGTGTCATCACACCCAGAATCAGGGCCTGGCTGTCTCAATGTGTCATCACACCCAGAATCAGGGCCTGGCAGTCTCAATGTGTCCTCACACCCAGAATGAGTGCCTGGCTGTCTCAATGTGTCATCACACCCAGAATGAGTGCCTGGCTGTCTCAATGTGTCATCACACCCAGAATGAGGGCCTGGCTGTCTCAATGTGTCATCACACCCAGAATCAGGGCCTGGCAGTCTCAATGTGTCCTCACACCCAGAATCAGGGCCTGGCTGTCTCAATGTGTCATCACACCCAGAATGAGGGCCTGGCTGTCTCAATGTGTCATCACACCCAGAATGAGGGCCTGGCTGTCTCAATGTGTCCTCACACCCAGAATGAGGGCCTGGCAGTCTCAATGTGTCATCACACCCAGAATGAGGGCCTGGCTGTCTCAATGTGTCATCACACCCAGAATGAGGGCCTGGCTGTCTCAATGTGTCATCACACCCAGAATGAGGGCCTGGCTGTCTCAATGTGTCCTCACACCCAGAATGAGGGCCTGGCTGTCTCAATGTGTCATCACACCCAGAATGAGGGCCTGGCTGTCTCAATGTGTCATCACACCCAGAATGAGTGCCTGGCTGTCTCAATGTGTCATCACACCCAGAATGAGGGCCTGGCTGTCTCAATGTGTCCTCACACCCAGAATGAAAAATCGATAACAAACATCATGGCTTGTCATATTGAGAAATATATTTTGTACAAGAAATAGTAAATGAGGCATAAAAAATCATTTACACAGGATCTCCCTTGTCCAACTATATGACATTTTTACAAAATACATCACACCTGGCGAATATATGTCAATGCTAAGGAGACAAATGAACTTATTATTGTCTTCACTGAAACTTAACTTGGCACACTCACATGATACTTCTTGTCAGACCAGAGTGACCTTTAAATCCATATGTGGCTCCGTATGTTGAGTAAACCACATTGATAGAATGTTTTAGAATGTTAGCCTTGAACTTGATCTCCTCACCCTCCAACATATGGTCCATCTTTACAGTAGAACTCTTCTCCAAGAAAGAAGGACCCTTCCATTTGATGTTCTATAGCCTTATGTTATGGTTACAGGCTAGAACTTCCTGGATGTATACAGACAAACCACTATTTTAGTTATTTGGTGAATAAACCTTTTTTATGTTGGAAACTGTTCTTACTAACCAGTTCTCAACTACATGTATGGATTAAGTGCATTAAGTGCATTAAGTGCATTAAGTGCCACATTTCTCATTACAAACATATTTGCCTCCAAACTCCATGGCATAGTGAGAGATGTGTTGTTTATCCATCAGCATGCCCTTTTTGAACACCAAGATGTCTGCAGTGGCACTGTAGCTCTCAACACATGCCCGGCGGAACCCTGTCGTCTCAGGTCCATATAAACAGTCACTGAAGGCTTTTGTGTTGCTGCTGATGTAGATGTGCAAAGTGTGTACCAACCCGATCGCTGTCAAATTTACGTAGCCTGCACACCCATCGTGTCTACTTTCAACTCTACTATCAACAGGCGTGTAGTCCAGCATTAGTTGTTTAGCAGGATTCCTGTAGCCAATCAAATAGGCTGTAACGGTTATAACATCTCTGACAATTCCTCCTGACAGTGAAAGACTTACGTTTGAAGCTGGGTTCACCCCCTGTGTCCAGATCCAGGCAGGAGGAAACGCCTTGCCCCAGTTCTTCTCCATGTGAGCCACTGCACTCCTTCCGGTCACCCGGAGGCCAAGATGGGGTACACTAAACTCATACCACTCGACCCTCGACCGAAGACTGTATACGAACCAGTGGAGAGGGAGGGGCAGATGTTCAAGCCAGCCCTCTGGACCCTTCCCATTGGGACCCCATGGGATGGGAGAAGATACTATCCCTCGGAAAATGGCGCCCTCTGTCTGGAAGCTGAAATGTGTCCTATTTTCTTGTACATTGAAGGTGATATTTTGTCCAGTTATCCATTCAAAAACTGCCGGCGAAATGTCATCGGGGTTCTTAGAAACCGGAAATCCATGAACTGTAATATTCATCTGAAACAATCATGTTGCATTTGCAGTTGTAGTTGGTCGTTGTGAAAATCAACAATTACACATTTCTGTACTTAGTTGCCCTGTGGGCAGTGTGGTTTAAACTGATGGAAGTTTCTCTGAAATATTAAAGATTGCCTAGAGTCAGGTAGCAATTGGTAAACAGTAGTAGTGTTCCCCATCACCACAGCACATTTTCCAAGATGGTGGCACTTCCATTCCGGTGCATGCTTGAACACACAACACCCGGAAGTGCTGCCATCTTGGAAAAGACGCTATGTCACTGCAATATGACAGCACATGAGATCACATGACCGAATGCACCGTTTTTGTGGCAGAATCTCTCAGGAAATGACATCATCGGTTGGTGGCCCATGCACAGAGGAGAGAGTAAAAAAAGGTAATGTTGGGGTATGTTGGGTCAGGGCGTTGGGGCAAGCTGGAAAACAGCACCAAGGAGCAGCTACACATTATTAACAATGCAAACAAACTGGAGTTTCAAGCACTGGGTTACGATTGGGGTAGCCCTAAAGAGAGCCACTGGAAGAGTGGTAGGGAATATGTTTTTACAGTCTGCTGCATGCAAGGTCCTTGCTTCGGAAAAAGAATTGGCTGGTGCAAGCACTGTTGTGCAGTCATTGTTGATTCTTTCATAATACTCCCTCACAGGACAAAGTGGAACCGACTTGAGGGATTCACTCTGTAGCACTGAGTAAAAATGATACCTCCCCAATTCTTTGATACTCTGGGGGTTTTGGTGGGGTGGTGGTGGTGCTGCTGCTGGAGGCACCCAGGTTGACTGAGGGCAGATGCCAGCCTGTTCTGTCTTCATATCTTGTGCTTCAACAGGTCTGAGAAACACCTTTCTGAGGGTGCATCACCATATAATAAAGGGATGACTGCTTTAGCTCTTTACTGTCAGTTAAGACAACACCACCATCAATACCCCACCTCCATGGAAATAAAGATGCTGCCTACCAGTCTATGCCAAAAGCACTCTGAAGTAGGAGCAACACAATACTGAAAGTCCTGCTGCATTTATTGCAGTGTTGGGCCATCTTCAAGAGGCAAGGGATTTAGCTGACTATAAGTCCAATTCCTACCCTTGCCAAACTAGTCTGGAATCTTGTGGCTTGATCGTAGAGCCACCAGTGTCTATCGTGAGTTATGTCCCTTCTATATTCCTCCTACTGACCAATCAGATTCCACCTCATATCACTTGCATTCTCTTCAAACAAAATGGAAGTGCCCAATCAAGATATAATGTAACTAAAAGGGTCTTCCTCACAAAGTACATCAAATCACTGGAGCAAGTTGATTAAAAACATAAAGATTTGGAAAACATCTGTGAATGGTGGGTTGACGATACACTTGTTTTGCAAATCCTGTAATTAACCGAAATCTGCACAGATGACGATTTTGTTACACGATTTGTGGTTGGACTATGCATAGCCTGTTATGCCAGCCAAAATATAATGCAGAAATTCCAGCCTAATTCGGGAAGTGTGGAAACTGGACTTTTATAGTCAGTTAACTCCTTTGCCTCACGACGATGGTGTTGGACAGCAATGATGTGAGATGCTCTCTCACAGTCAAATGACCTTCGGAGTAGCAACCATCTCTCCCAAAAGAAAAACTTTTCACATTGCAAGAAATGACAACATTGTCATAATGTGGCATCCAAGGTCTTTTGTATACAAACTATGAGAAGTTACAGAAGAAATATAACGAGAAACTTAACATGCAACCATAACAGGTCTAAGATAGAGTTTTGTGTGTGAATTATCATGGAACTGTTCTGGGTGAACAATACCTTCCAAATGACGTGCTGGTTTTCTTGGGGAATTAGTCAGCAAAGAGCCAGAGTCACAGGAGACTAATCACAATTTTATTTACAAGAACAATTAACAATTTACAATATACTTAGATAATAACTGAGGGTGCCACAGAGAGTCGGTACACACTCTGGGCTGAGGGAGAGAGGTCTGCTTGGTAAGAGAGTCAAACCCCTTCTCTCCTTCTCTCAATCTCTCTCTCTGGACCAAGGCTTATATAGCCAAGGTCACCTGACATTTAGTAAGTAATAAATATAAATGTAAACAGTAAATCATCAGTGACATGCTTGCACATCCTGTTCAGGATGGCAGATGTACACAAAACTGGGGATTAACAATTAGGATTAGCATCTTATAAATAACAGCAATTAAATGTTTCAAGGCATATAGATGTCATGGCTCCAGGGTAATGAGCCTTTGCAATCAAATGTTCTTCAGACAATGGGTGTCGTAAATCAGTCACCATGACAACTTCCCTCCGTTACGTGAAGCTTGGACCCCAAGCTTATATGAGTCCAAATTGATATGTGTGAGTTTTTTTCACCAACGAAAACAACCATGCAAATGTGAACAAAATCAGTTACATGAAATCCTTATGCAACAAATATATCTATGCAATGGCGGTATGAAAGTGATCATATAGCCAATTTGAATTAGTGCCAGTTTGAAAACTAACCAAGTGATCTTTGTAATGTGCAATTTCACTACAAGGTAATTACTGCTTTGCACAGATTCAATAAATATATCACTGAAGGTTCTTTGAATTCAGGAGTCTGGCTTGGCGGTGCAACTCAGTACCGAATAATGATAATGAGTAATGTCATAAAAAGTACAAAGTAAACATCTCAGCAAATATTTCGCATAAAGAAATTTGACACCAGGAGTCTAGCTTTACCGCGTGACTCAAACGGTACTTGTGGGTACTATTGCCCTTTTAAGTACAATGGGTGCTCTTCCCGTGTCTTTGACGGAGCTTGCCCAGATATTGTGGGTGCGATGCCCAAGAAAAAAAATCCTTAATTACGACATCAAAACTCTGAAATGCTGAATACTGCTGTGCTGTTAATTACTCAATACTGACATACAATAAACATATGTGTGGGGGTGGCTGACTCAATAATATCCCTAATCTGAATTCAAAGTCCTAGACAATACATTTTAATTTTGTACCAAACTGTGCACATTAATTACTTGTAACAAATGACAAATTTTGTCGTTTAGATTTTTGAAATTACGAGTCGAGCTTAGAGGTGTGACTCAATAACCCTACAGCTTAGGTTTGTCTGGGCCCTAGCTGCAACTATATGTCTGGCGTGGCCTGGAGACATTTAAAAGATTCCCTACACAATAACTTCAAAGATCTAGCTTGACTAAAGATGTAATTTGGAGTATATTGCACACATACAAAACTGAATTTTGGAAAGACACATTTTGGCATTAATATACTGGCTTTGATTAAACATACCTGGTTGCACTTTTCAACAGTCACACAATATATATCCTTGATTAAGTCCATGTAAGTAAACACAAATTAGTAAGTCCCAATGAGGTATCTTGTACACAGTGTCCATCTTGTAGGTGCCAGTGAGGCGGTTTCTGTATTGTGCAGGGTCTGCATGAAGATGGCTGGGGTCGGGTCTCTGTGGGATAGGCGTGTATACTTCTTTTCTTAGGTCATGTGCAGGAACGACATCTTGAAGGGGAAGTCTTAGCAGTGTTGCTAAGATATTCGAGCAGGGAAGGTTTGGGATCGGAGAACTTGTTCTTGATTGGAGAGGTTCTTGTTCTTTCTTCAATCTTGTTAAAGGCCATTTCTTCGTTCTTGGTGATTGGCCTCCAGGAAGGTAGTATATCCTTTTAATAAGAGACTGTCACTTCCTACAGTTTTGTGAACCATATGCCTTGCTGCAAAGAGGTACAGGAAAGGACAGACTAAGAAGTCTGTCATACCCGATAGCTCCACCAAATTAACAACGCGTGGCGGTCCGACGTATGGTTCTCAGTAGGAAGTGACAACTTGGGGACGATGGCTTGCGGTATATACAGTTTTACTTTATACATGTAGATATATACATACAAAAGACACTATGTGTCAGGTCAGCACATAGTGGTAGTGGTTGTTGTCTAGGTGCCCCGGAAGCACCCAGCCTAACCCTAGCTAGGCTAAGGGTAAGACCTTTTTTTCCCCCTCCTCTCCTTTTTTTCTTCTTCCTCTCCTTTTCTTTTCTCTATCTCTCTTTTCTGGACCAAGGCTTATATAGCCAAGGTCACCTGACATTTAGTAAGTAAATAAATATAAATGTAAACAGTAAATCATCAGTGACATGCTTGCACATCCTGTTCAGGATGGCAGATGTACACAAAACTGGGGATTAACAATTAGGATTAGCATCTTATAAATAACAGCAATTAAATGTTTCAAGGCATATAGATGTCATGGCTCCAGGGTAATGAGCCTTTGCAATCAAATGTTCTTCAGACAATGGGTGTCGTAAATCAGTCACCATGACAGTAGTAAGAACATGCACCATGAAGGGTTGCCCATTTTGCGTACTGGTTTCTTCTAGTGAGTGCAGACTGAGCCTGAAACCAGTTCCACATGAGCCCAACACTGACTGTGGTAGCATGAGGATACCATCCACTGGCATGATGGACCAACACATAGAGATGGTACACACCAGGCTTGACGAGAATGAGGAATCCTATGTTGCAATGATGCCTGGTGCAAAACAATACACACTCCCAATGTTGTCCTGGGAGATGACTGGGCTCCATGTTGACAATGCATGCTTTGACATACTGTCCAAGCTGTTGTTCAACACAGGTGTCTGGAAGTGAGGTCAGAATATGGGTCCCTTTGACATGATTGTCGACATCTTTGGTGATGTGCCCAGAATGACACCGAGCCACCATAAGGGAGCAATATCTGTATACAGGTTTTCTCTTTTGTTCAATCCTCTCACCTTCCCAAGGAACCTCTCCATATCAGACAAACCTTTGTATAGTCATATTGCATTCCTTCAAGTCCACACAAACAGGTTGGCACACATCTGCATGGTAAGACAGTTTGCTGAAGACTAACCTTTTCTTTCAAAACAAGGCAGTTGAAAAATGACTTCATTTGCATTCAGATACAAGATCAGGAAGAGCTTTAACTGCCACCACTATGGAAGATGCTAATAAAGTACATATGATTATGGATGATCAACACAACTCACCTAAAGTCACATAGCCAATGTGACTTGCATCTCTCATGAGAGCATTTTGAAAACATTCTGAGGAATGAACTGGGCATGACAAATGTTTCAGCACACTGGGTCCCAAGGCATCCGACTCCTGATCAGAAATACACCAGGTTCATGATCTCTTGTAAAATTTACGCCATTTTGAAGCAGACCCAGCAGATTTTGAGGAACAATTTGTAACCATGGATGAGGCTTGGGTTTACTACTGTCAGCCAAAGACTAAACAACATTGAAGTCAGAAGTCTGTTCCAGGTTGATGGCTTCAATTTTCTGGGATTCTAAAGAAATACTACTGGTGGACTACCCCTTGAGAGGTCAGAATTGTCAATATTCTAATAGGCTAACCGTCGTGGAAAATTCACTAAAGGTTTGTTGTTCCACCAGGACAAGCAGCTGTGCACACGTCTGTTGTGGCTTTGAACTCCCAGAACTGGAGTGTCCCACCCTCGCCCCCTCCTTCCTCTCTCCTCCATGCATGTACCCCCACCTGATTTCTGTAACATCAAATCCAATCTCATTAAAATCAGATTTTAGTACTTGCTACGGCTAAAAAGAAATCTGAGCACATCACTTATGGGTCACGCCAGACCTTTCATCCGACCAATCAGAGCGTTGCTAACCAGATCGGAAAGTGACGGTTGAAATGTGTTTTCTAATAATGCAACCTTGAAAAGATAACAGGGAGTATTCCGAATGACAGTTACGTGCTGTACTACTGATTTCGTCAAAATATTCGTCCGTATCTCCCTTCAATGCAATAAAAGCTTGGTTGGAAGATTCTTTTCATAGCTAATGGGAAGTACTGCCATACAAGCTCTGCCATCTATTAGACATTCCAGAATGTTCTTTTGTTCAGTTTTCAAATTTTTAATCAAGAATTTTGTAAAAATGTCTTCAAATCATGGTCAAGCATGGAGTGCAGTATAGTTAGAGAAAGATGCTTTCTGATTGCCCAATGTCAGCTTCCTGTTAGTCGTTTCATTGGTCGGTCAAAGTTCACAAAAGGTCTTCTGACGTGACATAAAATGGGATGACCTCAGATGTATGTTTAGTGGTAATGAGAACAAACATCTGATTCTAATGAGATTGGATGGGATGTGACGGAAATCAGATGGGGGCATGCATGGAAGAGAGAGGAAGGAGGAACCGGAAGTGCTGCCATCTTGAAAAATGTACTATGGTGATTGGGGACACTACTAACAGTGAACATGATTGCAATACTCCCTCCCACTCTGCAAAGTCAAAATCTTAATTTCTATATTTTGTTAAGAAACATGGACCAAAAACTGAATTGTTTTTCAATTTATGGCCATCGTTACCTCAAACCTCAATTATCAGCCATAATGATGCGTATGTACACTCGCATTTAATATTTAGTAAAGCGCGGCACAGAACTTTAAAGTGGTACTTAGGATTTAACATATTGCCAAACAATTTTAGCCACCATACATACAAACATACCTGTGATCTGTTGAAGAAACCATTGTAGGACATTAATTTGCAGGTGGTGCACCCTTCACTGTACAGGATGGAAACTGCTACTACTGGAACGGTCAAGTTGGTTGTCTCTGGAAGCACATGACCAAACAGGAGGCCGATGCTTCGCCCAGACTGGACATCCAGGAGTCTCATGTACCAGCCCTCAAAGTAGGGTCCAGCCTGGGGGAAGAGGTGCGGTGAAAACTGATTGGCTACCACCTGGAGGATGTACAGGCTGGATATGAACGTCAAGCGTAACATCATCTGTAGGAATGTCATCGGTGTTGCCTTTACGTTACCTTCAATCGTGATCAGCTCTTGGTTTTGTCAAACAATGACCTCTGAATTGTTAACATAAAATGAGATATCTGAAAGTATTGTCAGTCGTTAAATTAAGACCTTTTGAGCATCTTCCCGAGGCAAGAGAGGTAACTGACTATAAAAGTCCAGTTTCCACCCTTGCCGAACTAGGCAGGAATTATTGAGTAACATTTTGGCTGGACTAACGAGTCTATGCATAGTCCAATCAAAATCTCGCAACGAAATCGAAATCCGGTTCTGAACTGTCGTGTAGATTTCGATCGATTGCAGGATTTGCGAAGCATGTGCACCGCCAACTTGTTGTCAGCAGATATTTTCCAAATCTTTTCATGTTTTTAATCAAGGTGCTCACGTGATTTGATGCATTTCGCGATGTAAGACCCGTTTTATCACAGTATAGATCTTGATTATTGATCAGATCGTCCTGACTGGGCGCCACCATTTTGTGTGAAGCAAACGCAAGTGATACGAGAGGTGGAATCTGATTGGTCCATAGGAGAGGCTTAGAAGGGACATAACTGGTAATAGCCACTGGTGGCGCTATGATCGAGTCCAGTAATTCCAGCCTAGTTCGGCAAGGGTGGAAACTGGACTTTTAAAGTCAGTTAACTCTCTTGCCTTTGGAAAATGCCTTTTGAGTTGCTCAATCAAGAATTATACGAAACAACAAAAAACTGGTAAAATTCAGACATATGCAATTATAATAGTAACCAATAAATTGTACAAGATCTAAATCGACCTAATATCTTAAGCTCAAAGTACCATTCAACAAAAAAACATCAGCAGGCTCATTGTATAAAATGTACACTGTTGCATTATGTACAGTTTGTATCATGTACACTGTTGCATTACATACAGTTTGTATCATGTACACTGTTGCATTATGTACAGTTTGTATCATGTACACTGTTGCATTATGTAGTTTGCGTCATGTACACTGTTGCATTATATACAGTTTGTGTCATGTACACTGTTGCATTATATACAGTTTGTATTATGTACACTGTTGCATTATATACAGTTTGTATCATGTTCATTGTTGCATTATATACAGTTTGTATCATGTACACTGTTGTATTATATACAGTTTGTATCATGTACACTGTTGCATTATATACAGTTTGTATCATGTTCACTGTTGCATTATATACAGTTTGTATCATGTACACTGCTGTATTATATACAGTTTGTATCATGTACACTGTTGTATTATATACAGTTTGTATCATGTACACTGCTGTATTATATACAGTTTGTATCATGTACACTGTTGTATTATATACAGTTTGTATCATGTACACTGTTGTATTATATACAGTTTGTATCATGTACACTGTTGTATTATATACAGTTTGTATCATGTACACTGTTGCATTATATACAGTTTTTTTGGGGGGGTTTGGTTTGTTGTTTTACGCCGCACTCAGCAATATTCCAGCTATATGACGGTGGTCTGTAAATAATCGAGTCTGGACCAGACAATCCAGTGATATACATCATGAGCATCGATCCATGCAATTGGGATCGATGACATGCATCAACCAAGTCAGTGAGCCTGACCACCCGATCCCGTTAGTCGCCTTTTACGACAAGCATAGTCACCTTTTACGGCAAGCATTGGTTGCTGAAGACCTATTCTACCCCGGAATCTTCACGGGTCTTATATAGTTTGTATCATGTACACTGTTGCATTATGTACAGTTTGTATCATGTACACTGTTGTATTATGTACAGTTTGTATCATGTACACTGTTGCATTATATACAGTTTGTATCATGTACACTGTTGTATTATATACAGTTTGTATCATGTACACTGTTGCATAATGTACAGTTTGTATCATGTACACTGTTGCATTATGTACAGTTTGTATCATGTACACTGTTGCATTATGTACAGTTTGTATCATGTACACTGTTGTATCATATAGTTAGTATCATGTACACTGTTGCATTATATACAGTTTGTATCATGTACACTGTTGCATTATATACAGTTTGTATCATGTACACTGTTGTATTATATACAGTTTGTATCATGTACACTGTTGCATTATATAAAGTTTGTATCATGTACACTGTTGTATTATATACAGTTTGTATAATGTACACTGTTGCATTATATACAGTTTGTATCATGTACACTGTTGCATTATGTACAGTTTGTATCATGTACAGTTGTATTATATACAGTTAGTATCATGTACACTGTTGCATTACATACAGTTAGTATCATGTACACTGTTGCATTATACACACTGTTGTATTATCCACACTTTTGCATTAAAACATAAACAAATATTTGTTGATTACAATGTGACACAAATATTAATTTTGGCATAATACAATAATCCTGTTCGAACTCAAAATATTAACTTTATTTTTAATTTTGAAATATAATAGATCTAGCACATTCACTGACCATTTTGACTGAACATATACAACAGACTGAGAGAGGATACCGACGGGATTCGTCACATCTAACATTTCATTCAGCAAATTACAATACATTGGCAAAAGTTGGAAATATTGCGATCGATTGTGGTACGTTGGTCCGTTTACGCAGCATGCTTCAAGGGAAGCTACTCTTTTAATAGAGGGCGCTGTTACTCACGTGGGTCCTTTCAAGCAGACGACGCGAAAAGATAATACTTGGATGGCTCAGGGAACACCTATATTGCGGTAATATAAGTGTTTACTTCATGACTGTGTTTACGAGGTGTTCAATTCATTTCAAACCTTTCAATTGAAAAGAGAAACAATGTTCATTCAAAAGCATCATTCAAGGTGAGTAGAGAAATCTAGGCTCTATGTTTGGCAAATTAAGTGAAACACTCCTATCAAAGTATCCTGCTTACTTACAATGACAAAATCCGTGGAATATGTCGTGACAGAGCAGGTTCTCATGTGTAGCATCCTCACTATTTATATTTTTTAAACGCCAAATACCCATGTCTAGCAAAACAAGGGGACAAGGGCAAATGCAAAACATGACAAGATATGTTTTATTATCAATTTTCCATTCAGGATAAGTTATTTTGCTACAAAATATTGAAGGATGTATGTGAAATAGAAGAAAGAAATATCGCAATGAAAAATAGTACTATTCATAAATTTGACAGAAAATGGAAAGAATTATCAACCTACTTAATATAATTCATCAGTCATTCCAATATATATGTATATAACCATATCTGATCATGTTTTAAGACTCAATGAATTGCTACACTTATAAACCTCATGTTACATTTATGTCTACTGAACTGAAATAAAAATATTTAAAAAGAAAAGAAAAACAAGTGTGGGGACGGGTAAGGTTAGGAAATGAATGACAAACTTGATTTTGTGATTGCTGTCAGCACTAACAGCAGTGAACATGAAATTCATAACAAGGCTTTCGGAAACTTTCAGCATTGCATGTGCATGTCATAGGTCAGATTTAGCTAATATTCCTACTGGTCGATAAAAGGAGCTTCACTGTTGTCGGCAGGAGGTAATTTCATTAGTTCGGTTTTCGATCACCACACAGTGGCTTGTTGGTTTGTTGTTTAACGCCGCACTGAGAAATATTCCAACTATATGACGGCGAAGACCTTTTCTACCCCGGATCTTCACGGGTCCACCGCACAGTGGAAATGTTTACAATTCCAGCTGTTATAACAAGTAAAACAGGAAAATAGTGAACAACACAAAGTTAATTTGATTTTGTCACTATCTGTATCGATCGATTAAGGTGTGATCATTTCCAGAGATATGGCTATTTTAGAATCGGTTATTAGTTTATATTTAGCAGCAGTTATTAACTACCAAGAGTTACAGTAAAACTTAAAAAATAATATTTAATAAGGTTATTGCGGGAAAGGCTTCTATCATACAGTTTTCCCCCGACCCAGGGGAGACGTACGATATTCTTATCATGTTGAGAAATGTATATATGTACATGGTGATGAAATAATGAATAAAAGATAAAACAATATATCCAGAGCACTATTTCAATGATGATTGATGCTGAATAAGTATTACAAGACCCAGTGGAGACGTACGGTAGTCTTATCAGTTTAAGAAATTTATGCACATTTGTGATGAAATACTGGATAAAATGTTATTTGTGATGTTATTGCATATCATTACACATAATTCAATGTACGTATTTACATATACCGAGTGACTCATCGATTTACTTATTTACACATATTATAAACTCATCAACTGACTTGAAATGATATATACACACATATGTATAGAGGTGCATGTGAACAGGGTATTAGTTATTTTTTTATTCCAATATGTTATCAATAACTTGTTTTGACACGCTTGAGAAAATCATTACTTGTAATTGTCAGAGTACATGAAACAGTTTGAGAAAGAGTTAACCAAACCAATTACTTATAATATGCACACTGACATTTTTTGCTGTCGTTTGAAAACAGAAGCTGACGACGAAGCCTGCAGCTGGGATCTCAGAAGCCACAGACAAGAACATGGTGACCTATGTAACATAATGGCTTCGAGTTCAAGAAGGAAGGTTTAGAAAAGGCACAAGGAAAACGCGAAATAAAAAAACAGAGCTGCAGCTAGGGAATCTGCAAACGAAAGTGCTGTATTGCAAAGGTTGTTATCCATAAATTGTGTCTACTTTGTTTGCATAACTCTTCGTAACTTTAACATCAGAGCTGAAGCTTTGAAAATGTTTAGTCTTATGTGCCCTAACACTACACTTGGAAAAGTTCTATTGTGGGATCATTTACATGAAATATTAAGATGAGATGTTGTCAGTAATGTTTGTTTGTTGTTTAACGCCACATTTAGCAATATTCCAGCTGTATGACGGCGGTCTGTAAATAATCGAGTCTGGACCAGACAATTCAGTGATTGACATCATGAGCATCGATCGACGCAACTGGGATAAGATGACATGTATCAACCAAGTCAGCGAGCCTGATCCTGTTCCCGTTTGTCGCCTCTTACGACAAGCAACTACTCCACAGAACAGCAGCCTATTTAAGACAATGGCAGATGAAACTAACGAAGTGTTAAGAAACGATGAAAGTTTGGATGTTTTGGACTATTTTTGAAAATATCGATAATTCTAAATGATTATTGCAAGTTATAATTTATGCATTTGAAGAAAATCAAGAATTGACACCACATATTATGAAAGATAAAATACTGAACACCCCAGCTGCTATGCATTGTAAATGAGAAAGAATAGAAAGGTGATGACGTCTGAATTATGACCAATGCTTGGGTGGTGATGGGATTTGAGAGGTTGGACAAGGCTGATTCTAAACCTATAATTACTGTCGGGGCCAATGTCAACCCAATGCTGTGCCGATAATTATTGTCGACGTTGGGCCGATATCAATCCGATGCTTAGCCGATAATAGTTGCCAATGTCGGGCCGATAGTTTTTTCCGACATATAGCTGATGTGGATCCGATGAGCAAAACTTTATCGGCCAGACGATGTTTGCCGCGCTGAGCCGATGCAGGGCCGATGGTAATGTGGGGGTAATGTGAACACAAATTTGCCAATTTATTTTATGGTCTCTGACCTGAACGATACAGCCGATTACAACTTCGACCAAGATGGCGAGTGTCTACCTTTTCAGTTAATATGGGTCCGGTTTTCAGTAATATCACTATTCTGCTTGTGCTGCAGGTGTCACTCTCTACAACACAGTGACCACAACATCAATGTGTACAAACTAGGGCTGTACTGAACTTCTGGCAAAGTCAGCAGACACGACAGGGGCCAATGCTTACCTCATATATCACATTCGTCACCACTCGCCCCTTTCCGTAAAACCCTTGTCACACTAGAGGCGGAATGCCGTCGGAATGAAAATTCTTTGTTTATTCCTGGATATTCGAAGTGCATTCTAAAACTTCTGAGTGCATTCCAAATATTCGGGCCCATTCTCAGCTCATGCTCAAAACTTTCGAGGTGCATTCGAAGTGGAGAAATATCGAACGGCATTCGAAGTGTTATCCAACTTCTCACTGACTGCATTCTAAATATTCTTACGGCATTCCAGCAGCATTCGAAACATTCCGATCGCATACGAGGGAAAATCGAAACGCCAAGCATCTTCAAATCCTGCTCGAATGTCCCGAATGCACATCGAATGATTGGACGTTCGAACCATATTCAGCGGCCATTCCGGGAGCGTTCTGAGTGCATTCAAGGTGAATTCCAAACAGACTTCGGCCGGTATTCGGATAGCAATCGAACCGCACTCGTCTGGCATTCAAAGTGTATTCTAAATATTCTAACTGCGTTCTAACAGCTTTCTTAATATTCCTACTGTGTTCCAACTACATTCGAGCTGCATTCGAGAGCTGATACAAACTGAATGTGCAAGAATCATTCGAGGCGGGTTCGAAGCGCATTCTAAGTATTCGAACGGTATTCTTACAAAGCTTGGTCAATTTGAAATTCCCTCCTGAATGTGGCAGAAATTTTGAAAATTCTTCATTCCGTCTGGTTCTGCTTGATTCCTGCTGATTCCGAATAAGTGTGACGGGGGTATAACCTGCAAGAAGACTAGTCCCGCTGTCGATAAATGTGATGTGCGAAAATACGACAAACCAATCAAAATGTGCGTATGGCTTCAGGTTTTTCGGTCAAAGAATCCCTCAGGAATAATTTTTGACTTTACGTATGCCTTGCATCTAAAAATATACCCAAGATACAGTTATATGTGTTCAATCATACTGTATAATACCGCGTGTCCCGATGGGCTTTAAACTGCATCCGACATTATATAATATATGGGGAAATATACGTGAATCATTACACAACGAGTTGACTATTCATTTAGCTATGCCCCTTAAGGCTTAGGCGGAACCCTGTCGCAAAAATGACCACGAGAGGGACACGAGTCGCTATTCAGTTTGTCCCACAATAACACGAGTTGGTCACGAATGCTCAATATCAATGCCATTCGGCCAGCAAAGGAACCGCAATTATCACATTACTCATGTGAACTCTGACCTCCTACTGGCTTGTAGGCTTGCATGCTACACGGTCAAGTGATAGTGTGTTTTTTACCACGGCCTCTCTTCCATCTCTAGTAATCAGCCGAGTCAAAGCCTGACCACCTGCATGGTCACAGTTTCTTGTGACAGTAATGTTAAGTACCGATCAAGGACTAGCTGCTTTTACATGCAATACTCGTTACTTCCAAAATGTACAGTAGAATGGTATATTGCCGTTATCACATTATTTTTCATGCATCTAGGGACATATACTGAGTCAAATTAAAAACTTCACATTTTAAAAAGTAATCCCATATATGATATACAACGGACAAATGTATCAGAGAAGGTAATTTTTAATCATCAATGTCCAAAGAAGGATTTTAATTAACGGTGGTAACCATAATTTGTTCCAAGCACCTACGGTATTCGGTAATAACATCAACAGTTCAAATCATAAGTCCCAAGCACGAGAATCTGATGGCACACAAGCTCAGTAGCGTGTATGGCCACCATGTGCGTTGACAACTGCCACACAATGCCTCCGCATGGACCTTGTGATGCTTGTGAACACATGATTGGGAAGACGACGCCAT